TGGCCCTGTGTCGTCCAATGGTCCTAGCTAGCCTCGGCAGAGAGCCGGCATTGGCTACAACTCCAATCTTGGCCTCTGGGAGCGCAAAGGTAGCACTCTTGGCTGCGACGATGAGGTCGAGGTTGGCGACAATCTCAAAGCCTCCACCAAACGCAATCCCATTCACGGCGGCGATGATGGGCTTCTTTCCGTACCGCCGTGAGAGCCCGCCAAAGCCGGTCACGGGCGGGTCCATAGGCCGCTCCTCTGGGATGCCGTCCCTCCTCCTCTGGTTGATCTGGTTCCATTCGTTGAGGTCCATGCCGGCGCAAAAGGCACGGCCTGCTCCCGTCACGACGGCGCACCGTAGCGAGGGCTCTTGGTCGTACCACTCCCAGAGGGCATCCAGCTCGTACTCTCCCTTGCTGGTCATGGCATTGAGCATCTTGGGCCGGTTGAAGACCACCAGCATGATGTGCCTGGCCGGAAACGACACCATCCCGTAGCCCTGGGTCGGGGGCGGTCGCTTGAATGGGGGTTGTTGCGCCATGTCGTAGGCGGTGGTGGTGGTACAGCTTCTCCTGGTGGCAAGGGCAGGCATTCAACAGGCGAATGTGGAGAGGCTTATAACATTGATGCCGGGCCTCTGCTGCACAGATGCCGTGGGATCAAGCTTGGTGGCGGCGTGGCATGTCCATCAGATGAAGTCTTGGTGATGCCAGTGGTTGTGAAGCAGAGCCCGAAACTCACTAAGAAATACCGCCTCATTCCCAATGAGAACCGAGGAACGCCAAATGCTACGTAAGCCGGCATCAGGCTCCGGTGGACTCCGAGGGACTTGGCAGGGACAAAAGCAGCCTGCCGCATACAGAATGGCGCGTGGAGGCCCATGTCCTGGACGACGGGAAGTGGGCAGAACAAGGGGTTAATACACTCCTATTGGACGAACCAAATGCAAGGGACCCATTGTCGAAAGCAAAGGGCCTCGCTAGACTCCATTCAAGTCCTCACATGTCACTCGGAGTAGTAGAGGCACGCCCCCTTCTCGACAGATGCCTCTCCTGGATAGCTTCGAGCTACGGAGGAAACCGTTGATCATCTAATCAATCACATCTGATAATCCAGGTCAGATGCGTCATGCGGTGCAATCTAAGGGGAAAACCCGACCCAACTTTACATCCATCGTGCATTCCGTGCCCACACCAGAGGGCCCGAGATCGGGCTGCTGATCCGGACCCAGCAAAAAACTCTGCTCTCGGATGTCATGGCAGAGTTAGCGGGAAGCTTGAGAGAGAGATGAAGCTCCAAATTTGCGTCTGTTGAAGCTCATGAGACAAGTTGAAGGTTCTGGATAACCTCATATCTGAGTCTCAACACCACCACCATCAACAACCTGCAGCATGTAGGGCACAATCACATTCTCACTCGGGCCGTAGGCTCGCGAATCTCGGCAACCGTTGGTGCTTTCTTCCCCCCCCCCCTTCCCTCAATTCCATCCCATCCCATCCCGTGCAGCCCAGCCCGGTAATTGCAGAAGGTGGCTTACCTTGGCTGACGCGCCTCCCTCGGCACTTGGTAAACAAAAAGAAACCTTGGCGGTTTATGCGACCGACGTCCGAGCGACTCCGACGATGCTCTGTTCGACTTTGATCCCGATATTGTCTGCTTCTTGAAGTGGAAACCATTGTCCGATGTCGTCGGCCAAGAATGCTCCCCAAGACTCGTCATGATGGAAGGCCAAGGACTGTGAAGCAAGTTTTTATGTTGATCAGCACCAATGGCTTCGGTCGGGGTCTTGGGAGGCGAACGACTAAGCGGCAACGAGCTGCGACGCCGAGACGCGACGGCGAATCCTTGAACGGAGATCTCATCTACAACTCACCGACTCATCGGCCCAGAGCACCCTCGACATGTTGTCCAGGTGTGCGTCTCACGAGTTTGCGACCGTCGCCGATTGAACTGGCCGTCAGAGATTGTATTGGCCTGTCGCGCGAGAAGCCTCGGGGCCGCCAAGCTTGTCTGAGAGCTGGTCCTTCCTTGACCGTCACCCTTTGCCATGGGTGATGCTCTGCTTGGTTGAGCGACACTCGCCAAGAACTCTCGATCGCTTACAGTTACGGTACTCGTCGCCTCGAGAGCGCGCTCAGGCGTCGCGATTGATCGAAGCATGAGCGCAACGAGAAACAGAGTCCAAGTGCTTGTCGCATTGTCGCAGCTTCAAGTGGGAGCAGCGAGTCGTTTCATCTTCAGCGATGGAGACACTCACGGGCAAGTGCGCATTCTATGGCAGTTGGCTTCACTACGAGAGACCCAATTGTTGATCGTCAGTCGCGATTGAACAGGAACTGTGTTGCGTAGACCGGTTTGAGCTCTTAAGGTCACAAGAGTGTGACTGCTTGTTCAGTTCCCACTGAGGACTTATCGACCGGCGGCGATTCATCGAGATAAATACACAGCGACACAAGAACACACACGATCCCTCTCTCATTTCAAGGCTCACGGGAGCTATTGTGATCGGAAGCGCGATGAGAAACAGAGACCATCGGAGCACAAGACTGTGTCTACCACTCAGGTCGCTGCAAACGGCGCAAAATACAGAACTCCTCGGAAGCGTTCCGAAAGACCAGGACGAGACTTATCGATGCCTCTGAGACTTTAGATGGCTCTCAATCACTGCTGCTCCGGCCACCAACGACGAGCAAGTGACGGCCACTTACAGTGAATGATGATTACACTCTTCCCTACGACCCATCCGAGCCTCATGAACGACACCTCGCCGTCCGATGATACAAACAGAACCTACGTATCGGATCAAGTACTCGGATGTGTGGTAATCCTGATCCTCGGCCCCAATGCCTGTTGTGCCGTGAAGTGTCAGGCCGAGGTCTCTGTTAATGGGGCCTCGGAGACCTGAAAAGCACCTGGACACTTGGAGAATGCGATGCAATTGCGGCGCAAAGACGGTGGCTCTCAATCGCTACTTATTGTCCGATCGATTCATCCTGTCGCTCGTCGCTCTACTGCCCGCAGGCCTTTGGCGCATCGCTTGCCATGTCTAACAGGAGCCTGGTCAAAGGGTTCCCGCTCGTCTCGGTCTCGCGATCGCTTTCGGACGTCCTTTGGTCATTGTTTTCCATCCTTTGCGTCAAAGGTCATGGCGGAATCCTAATGGCAGGTTATCTGAGGGCTGTCGTTGTCGGGCTAGTGTGAGAGGTCATTCTCACTCAATCATGTTAGTTGGGTGACATCTCAGTCATGTGGCATCCATCAGTGTAAGAACTGCGCTTACCCAAGCTTTCATAGATAATCTCTGGCATCAGTAGAGCCGGCATCGTAGGCGGATGGTCGAAGAAACCGTCCTCTCCATCAGTATCAGCATGGCCGTCAGGTCATCGTCTTGCATGAACCGTAGACACTCGGCGCGTCTCGCGGGGCACCTTCGCGTAGCTGCGTCTCCGTAGCCAACATGTAAAGACGCCATTAAGTCTGCTCGAAAAGGGTTCCGGGCATCAGCCTGGTGCATCGCTGTCTGTCAAAAGCGTAATGGTGAAGCATTGCTGGCTTCAATCGTGAGCTTCTCGTCAATGCCGCAATCGCAACCATCTCAACTCTTCATCTTGACACCCATTGATCCCCCAATATTGTCGTTACCGTCATAGATGCCGAGGACGGCCCGCAGCCTCAAAAGAGGCACAATGTACCACCGGTCCGGGAATACGTAGGTCGTCTCCGTCCTCCCACCTAACCGACGACACCCTCGCGCCCGCTCTTGACCGCCACAGGGAGACCATGATTTGCGCCAGGGGTTTTTGAGAGGCTCATTCTCGACCAGTGTTTCGTTCGGAGCATTAGGCGTCGTCTGTTAATACCTCGCGCTAGGCATCTATTTCCTGTCGAGGTCGCCGAGGGCTGCAAGCTTGTCAACATCATGACCCCGAACGGAGGTGCCTGACACACCCCGTAGCAAGAGAAGACTTGGCGGACGCGGTTCCGCTAGGATACTAATCCTATGGGTAAGTTCTCGAATCGACTGTCAAGCCGTGGCTTTTGTCAATGATACCTTGTGTGAGGCCGTCGATTGAATCGGTGACAGCTCGCTGTGGAGAGCTCATCGCGAATAGAACCCGAGACGATTCGATTACACGAGGCGTCCCGAGCGTGGGTTTAGCTAAGATTAAGCATAGACAGCTAGTTATCAATCAGTGCGGTCCTGCTCCATAAAAAGAGAGAAAAGCTCGTACTCGCGAGTTTTGACGTCTCATTGAATCCACGAGGGCATCGTCTTGCTTGTCACCCTTGAGCGATCCTACAGTACCTACTGTAACCTCGAGATCAGCGTAGCATGGATGTCATGGACAGGACAAGCGTTTACCCACCCGCCCGAAGAAATCACTCAGAGGGTGCCCACAGTTGCATCGAGCTAGTGATGTTCCTTGGCTATGGATGCCCCCAAAGAGGCTCGAGGCCCGCTCCGCTCCCCGTAGCCGCGCCGACCGCGAATCTCTCAGTCTTGGCGCCGCCGAGTGAAGGGGTCCAGGTGGCGCCATCTCTTGCACAGATGCCCGTCTTGGCCTTCAGGGGCTGCGGGTAATCGGCACATCTCGGGCGTGGGTGGGCATGGGGGCAAGGGCCAGTAGTTCCACGCTTACATACAGAGACTCCCCTACTGATGGATTGACACACACGCTTGCTTCGGAAGATGGGGGCTTGCCTTGTTCTCCGTGCCGTGCGTGTGGAAGCCATCGTGGATCAGAGGACGCGACGCAAATCTCTGGTCCCCATCCCCAAAGGGCTTGCTAGCCACGTAAGATTTCCAGCACGTCGGCAGAGCTCGGCATGAGAGAAACAGGAAGAGATGTGCAGCAGCTCCAGTCATTCTAATTGGTTCCAAATGAGACACTGCTCGTCGTCACCGAGATCGGTACGAGGCGGGGTATAAATAAAATCTGGAGATCAAGTGTTCCTTTGTGATGTTGGCTCCAGACCCCCAAGCAGACGAGACAAACCAACAAAAGTTCAACATGGCAGCCTCAGATCCCTTCCAGCAGCAGTCGCCAATCAAGATCCGGCTTCCTCATCCTTACCTCACCACCTACTTCCTTGAGCGTACCGACGCCGAGAAGCAGTCGTTCCGGCTTCGCAAGGCCGACTCGCCCGAGGATGGCACCCCGTTTCCCCAGGCCTTGCACGCAGAAGGCCTAGTCTTTGCCAGTGTGCCGCCTGCAGAATCTGATAAGATCCCCGAATCTGATAATCGCGCCTGGGCGAGGGCACGCCGCAGCCCTGTGTGGTCATTGACCTGGGAGGACGGTCACGAGGCCGCCACTCTTGCCCAGACCTGGATGTTCTTCTACACCTTTTTTACACACACTTTTGATGTAGAGCAGTTCCGTCTCCGCCTCGGCGGCTCCGGCGCTGAGGACCTCGCCAAGGCTCTGATCCAGTCCATGGTGGCGATTGATATCCCCGAGCCCCCCAGTGTGCCTGTGCCGGCTCCTCGCCAGGAGGTCGAGGTGCTCGTCCTCCGAAGCGCCTTCTGGCAGGGGTGCGCATCACCTCTTGGTCAGCAGCCCATCTGGCTTCCCACCTGGAACTCGGCCAAGGTGGTTCCTCACGTCGAGTACGTGATGACCCCGACGTCCGAGTCCACCCTGCTCCGGCACCCGCGCCGAGTGCCCAAGCCGGAGCGCGGCAGCCTCATCTACAGCCGGTACATCCCGTCGCTGGATGAGCACTTCAACCTCGTGGCGCTCGACTACCTCAACCCAGAGCACCTGGGCCTGTTTAACAAGTGGCAGAATGACCCCCGTGTGGCGGCGGGCTGGATGGAGACGGGCACACTGGAGCAGCACCGAGCGTACCTCCGGGCGATCCAAGAGGACCCCCATCAGTTTGCTGTGCTGGGCTTCTTCAACGACACACCGTTTGCCTACTTTGAGCTGTACTGGGCCAAGGAGGACAAGATGGGCCAGCACTACGCGTGCCTCGACTTTGACCGAGGCAGGCACTCGCTCGTGGGAGATGCCACATTCCGTGGCCAGCACCGCGTCATGGCCTGGTGGCCCAGCGTGATGCACTACGAGTTCCTCGACGACCACCGCACCGAAAACGTTGTCGGAGAGCCGCGTCTGTCGAGCGAAAAGGTGCTCATGTACGAGATGATCTTTGGTCTTCACCAGGACAAGTGGATGGACCTGCCCCATAAGAGGTCCAACCTGGTCAAGTGCTCGAGGGAGCGCTTCTTCCAGCTGTGCCCCTTTAACCAGGGCAAGCCTCGCGTGGCGGGTACCACCTTTGGCTTTGAGCCGAAGCTGTAGAGAGGACGAATGGTTGCTGCTAGTAATTAAGTAGACTGGGAATAATGTCATGTATGAATGGGGTCTAAAAAAATTGTGTATGTATGGACAGGACAGGGTGTTGATTAGATAGAATGTCTGTTTCTGCTTGGCAAGCGGAGAGCGTAGCATTTACCAAGACTGATCTTCAGTTCCGATCGAACCGATCAATCGAATCCTTTGCAACGCCTTTTTCTCGTCCCAAGCTCGCTTCAGGAGATAGCACCGTCGATCGCTCTGCTTGACGTCTGGGCTCTCGCCACTGACTGGACGCTCCAGACTCTTGTCCAGCTTGGCAAGCTGCGAGGAGATGTGCCCAGCAAACGGAGGGAGCCGCGTGGGGACATTTGAACATCGACGTCCTGTGTTGTCCATGGACGACGTTGGTGGCTTGTCCAAGCTTCTGCAGGAAAATTACGCGGCCCTTGACCTTCAGTTAAGCTTGTTTGCGCCATGAGTTTTTTATTTCCAACTTTCTTTTTGGCTCAAATCGCGTGGTTCAGGTACGCAGCAGCCATGGCTAAAACAGCAAACATGGGTGGACGGTGGGCTCACCAGCAGCTAGTGGAGTGATCCATGGAGCGGCTGACCAGCAACCAACAACCAACAAACGCCCCCCTGCCTGAAGCCGAGTCCCCTGTAGCGCTTGACCATCCAGAATGCCGTTGGTGACATTTCCCAAACGTGATAATCAAGCCTCGTTATGCGGCCATGGCCGGAACTGGGAATAGCTCATAGGGCTACCGGGACCAAAGCAAATTTCAGGTCCCCACGTTCCGGGAACCTCTCGAGCCACGCCAAGATTTCGAGGCCCTTCGTCTGCGCCAAGCGCGGGCTTCTCGGCAGGGATTCATTCTCTCAAGGGTCCAGTGAGTTGGGTGCAGAGAAAGAACACACGGCCCGCCTGATCATATGAACCCTTGTCTTGACAGTGTCTTGATCATGCTTTTGACCCCACGCGAGAAAGAAGAGAAAAATAAGAAAAAAGAGGAGCAGATACAGAAGAGCCGAATCATTGCCTTTTGTTGGTTCATTAAGACCCGCAGTCAAGCGAGTTGAGAATTAAAGACTTCTCGCATTGTATACCCAAATTCGACCTCCAAGCTCATGCAGCAGCGTTGTACATGCATTCATTGAACCCGTGATTCACTCACAAACAGGTAAAATTCACGGTACTTTGAGCTCATCAACAGACAGACCTTGATCCTCATTCGATCTAATCGATCAGATTAGATAAAAAATTTTCACTACCTGACTCTTACTCTCCCTCCCTCCCTCGGCTCAAGCCTCCCTCTTCCCTAGCTCCCTTTACCCCCCCACCCCACGACGGCCATCTCGCTGCCCGCGCGTTCCAGACCAAGTAAATCCAAGGCCGTAAGTGGCTGCAGCAGCTTTTTCGCCAGTGTGTCTTGTCTGTTGGTTCACCCCAAAACAGCCGATTTCGGTGGGCTGGCTTCTTTTTAGCCACCACGCAACAAGACGCAAGCTGGGGCAGCCCAAAGCCTGATCTTATCTGATGGGTCTTTTCGTCTTCACTCTCTTTTTCCCAAAGGACCTTGTGTGGAGACATGTAGCACTAGCCGGGGTACAGGTGGCCCAGGTCTCTTTCAGCCGTACGTGCGGGTGGTTTTACAGTTTAGTTTAAAGATTGACTGTTGCGCTCGCATCCGAGCTTCTTTTCCTTCTCTTCCTCTCCAGTCTTGCCTTGTACTTTGCAAATCTTTACACAAGTCTCTCTAGACAAAGCTCCGATAATGGCAGTCTTGGACAAGTTCAACGCCGTCATAGGGCGCAAGGCCAACAACGAGGCCGCAGAGGACCCCGTCACAGTCGCCAATGCGACCGCAGACGAAAAGGCCCACGACGGCATCCCTCCAGAGGATGCCGACTTCAGTGATGCTCCCACTGAGAATGCCCAGCATGGTGTGAGGGCCGCCGAGGCCATCACCCTCACCTGGACTAAGTGGTCGCTGGTTGCCGTCTTCATCAAGTGAGTCTGACTCTGTTTGTTTTGGTGGATTGGAAATGCTGACCCCCCTTGTAGCATGTGGTTCATCTACCTCGTCAACGGTTTCCAGTCCAAGGTTCTCGACACCTTGACTCCCTACGCTTCTAGCGAGTGGGAGTCTCACTCCATCATGCCCGTCATCAGTACTGTCGCCTACATCATGACTGCTGCCGTCTATATTCCCCTGTCCAAGATTCTCGACATCTGGGGCCGAGCTGAGGGTTTCCTCCTCATGGTCGTCTTTGCCACCATTGGTATGGCCATGATGGCTGCCAGCAAAAACTTTGCCACTTACTGCGCTGCCACTGTAAGTGAATCGAGCTATCAGATCCTCAAGTCTCACTTCTAACTCGCCTCTAGGTCTTCTGGCAGGTTGGCTGGTCCGGTCTCACCTACAGCATCGATGTCATCACGGCCGATTCCACCCAGCTCAAGAACCGAGGTCTCGCTTACGCCTTCACCTCGTCCCCTTACATGGTGACTGCTTTCGCCGCTCCCAAGTCTGCCGAGAAGTTTCTTGAGAACGTTGACTGGCGATGGGGCTTTGGCTGCTTCTCCATTATCCTCCCCGTTGTCGCCGCTCCCATGTACTGCCTCCTCAAGTGGCACCTCCACAAGGCCAAGAAGGCTGGTCTCCTCGTCCGCGAGGACAGCGGCCGTACCTGGCCCGAGGCCATCGTATGGGGTGTTATGGAGTTTGATGGTAAGTCAACAAGATGTCGTCTCGCGCAACAAAGACTAACTGTTTTGTCAATAGCGCCTGGTGCCCTGCTGTTCGCTGCTGGTGCTGTCATCTTCCTCCTCCCCTTCTCCATTGCCAGTATGGCCCCCCAGGGTTGGGATACTCCTTATATCATTGCCATGATCATCACTGGCTTTGTTGTCCTCGTCATCTTTGGCCTCTATGAGCGCTTCGTCGCCCCCAAGCCCTTCTTCAAGTACGAGTTCCTCACTGACCGAACCGTCGTCGGTGTCTGTTGGTTGGATCTCATCTACATGATCGGCTACTACTGCTGGGCCAGTTACTTCAACTCGTTCCTCCAGGTGGTCAACAACTTGGGCCCCGCCGAGGCTGGTTATGTTGCCAACACTTTCGACATCGTCTCTGGCTTCCTCCTGTTCATCGTCGGTTGGGGTATTCGTAAGACCGGTCGCTTCAAGTGGCTCCTTTGCGTCGGTATCCCTCTGTACATCTTCTCCCAAGGTCTGATGATCCACTTCCGTCGTCCTGGCCAGTCCATCGGTTACCTCATCATGTGCGAGGTCTTCATCTCCATTGCTGGATCCGTCTTCATTCTGTGCATGCAGATTGGTATCCTCGCCGCTGTTGACCACCAGCACGTTGCCACCGCCCTCGCTGTCCTGAGTGTCACCGGTAACATTGGCGGCGCCCTCGGAAGCACCATCTCTGCCACCATCTGGACAAACACCTTCTACAACAAGCTTCTCCAGTGGCTCCCCGAGAGCGCCCTACCTGAGGCCGAGAACATTGCTGGCGTCATCGACTACCAGCTCGCCTACCCCATGGGCTCTCCTGAGCGCCTGGCTATCCAGCGCGCCTACGGCTATGGTCAGGCTAGAATGCTTGCTGCCGGAACCAGTATCATGGTCCTTGCCTTTGCTACTATCTTCCTGGTCAGGAACTACGACCTCCGGAAGCTTCGCCAGACCAAGGGTATGATCTTCTAAGAGGCGAGCGCTCATCGTAGCCTTGCAGAAGTATCGTACAATTCCAAGATTGTAAAAGTCCAGTTGGGAGGACGAAGCTGTTCAGAGTCAAATTTACCCCGTAGCTAGTTTAAAACCACCTAATAAAACCATGGGCAGCTATCGCGCCCACAGGAGGGGGCATTGGATTGCCTCATTTGTTTCAATCTCTTGCCGTCCCAACCATGCCAAGACAAGTCGTTGCCAGCCCTTTTGCCTCGGGCATTTAATTTGCATGGCGCTAACAGGCACCCTGGATGCTAAGACGGCTGTGTTATCCGAGGATCGGCTGCTCATTCTTGGCAAACCGTTCGAGGTGTGGTGGTGGGTGGTCTCCATCGAGGCCGCGGAGGGGCTTGTTTAGCTGGCTTGGCTGTGATAAAGGCTGCCTCGACCTTGGCTACGATAAGATTAGACTTAGACAGGGTATGTCTGAAACATGATTATCGTTTGATGTGAACTCTGTGTTATCCAAGAGAGTAGGAGGTCACGAGACTATGTTGTCTTTCGCTACCGTCGGGACCTTGACAATGGATGGCTTCGTCCATTATCTACCTACCCTGAATCCGCTGCGTGAAGATCCTGGACTTGGACGCTCTTACCAGCTCACCAGTCTCATGTATTTGTTTCCTTACTACTTGTGTCTTTATTGCTGCTCAATTGATGTGAAATGAGTCTAGGTTTTCTCAAGCCTTGTCGTGTTATGTTGCGGCGTCTATGGCATTTTTCGCCTCCCAGATTGCGCCATGTTCACTTGGTCGACCAATTTTTCGTCATTACAGCAGGAATAGGTGATTGACTTGTCAAAGTGATTGAAATTCCCAAGGCTATCCCATTCGGTCATCAATCAGCAAGAAACTTAACGCTAACATGTTGTAAACTCGAAGCATTCGCACATCTAATAGCATACAGTCTGGCTAGCTTACATTCTATTTTCACTCTCATCCTCTTAGGCTTGCCCCAAGATAAACTGCATGATGCCATGCTGAAGACCTGTCACCGCTACACTTCCATGATCCTCTCCCTCAAACTCGCGTGTCCAGATACTCGATACACTTGGTGACTTTTCCAGACGCTCCGCCAACTCCTTGGCACAGTCCCTCATCTGCTCATCCTCGGAGCAGTCCTGTCTCTTCTTGAAATCTTCCTCCGATTCGCCCGGCTTCCTGACCAGATCCTGCTTGCCAGTGCCCCAGGTGACAATAAGCGACAGAGGTGGCTCGACAGGCTTGTCGCGGGCGATAAATGCTGCCTCTTGCTCCTTGACGAGGAAGTGGTTGTTCCACCAGATAATGGGGCTCGCAGCAATGTATGTGTGAAACAGGTCAGGCCTGGTAAACATAGTGTTGAGAGTAAAGATGCCACCATATGAATGTCCAAATAGGGCCTTCCTTCCAGTGTGCAGCGATGCCTTGGGGAAGAGCTTGTCATGGACGTGGGTCATGACCTCGTGTTGGATAAAGTCGAGGAAATCATGGGCCTCGCCAAATTCGATGTCGGTGCGAGGGTTCCCCTTCGAGTCAAGAGGGAGGTCATATGTGCCGTCCGCGCTGGGCGGAGTCAGGTCAGGTCCCCGACGGAAGTCATAGACGTATTTGCCGGGGGGATAGCCGACGCCTACAACTACGGTGCGTGTGCTGTTTGTGAACTCCAGGCGACGAGTGACGTCGACTGCTGTGAAGAAGTAGGCGTTGCCGTCTACGAGATAGCTGTATATGGTCAGATATCGTGGTTGAGACTCGCTGGTGAGACGTCACTCACAGAGTGTTGACAACCTCATTTTCCGGCGCGACCCGATCCTCACCCCAACACAAAGGCCAAGCGACCTGGACGAGATAATCACCTCTCTTGGTGTGAGCAATCCACTCGCACGTGTTGGGCACGCGAGCGTGAGACACTGCAGTCATCTGCGTCATGGTTCTTCTGCTTAACTTGGACAAGAGGCGTTGGTGGTTATGAATCCGGATCCGAAGGAGGGCGCGTTGCATATTTTTGCCGCAGCTGATTGATAAACAAGAGGGACCATCTGATAATTCCCTCTCTCCCTCGGCTCCATTTTATGGGTCCTCGTTAAGGGGTCGTGTTGCGGTATCGGGGCTTTGGGCGGTTAGATACGGCAGAAATTGAAGGCATGTCCATGTTGGAAGCCGGGCTCTCCGAAGTCCTCAAGTCCGTGACTGTAGATGAGTGATCCAGCAGGACGGTAACATGCCTTGTGCTTGGTTTGGTCTTCTTGTTAACTGCTACCCTGCGTGTTAATCGTGTTCGCTTGCATCCCTGTCTGGGGTATTCCACTGCACATCGAACGTCGAACCATTATCACCAACTGCCGGACCACTCTCGTGCAGGTTCACTCATCCATTCAGATATGTTTTGTCAACTCAGCCTATGGGGTCGTTGAAGTGCCGTCGAATCTCTTGTTTCTCCACTCATCCATTCATACGATCTTGTCCCGCACGTTTGATCATGCAGGGTATTTGCAGTGTACCCCGATGAAACCGGATCTCCAAACTTGACTGCGGGGATATTGTACGGATGCTAACAATGAACGGGTTTTGAAAACTGATATCCTCGTCATATTACAACGTAAAGGATGTTGATCTTGTAACTAATCCCGGACACTGGGCACTTAATCCATCGGGACTAAGTGATGCCAATGTTGTTTAGCTAGACCTTTTCCGAGTGGACATATTCGTCAATACTAAAGGGTACTGAATCAATCTCACGATTATCCCATTACAGCCAATTGCTGGCTTTCTATTTCCAGAGCCTCACCTTATATGCCTTGAATGCGGACCAAAGGCTCCACAGATTGTACGTGCAGAGCTAGGTCAAGGGCTCACAAGTGGTGAGTTAATCCGCTCTTTGAGCTTAGCTTTATTGTTATAGACTTATGGTATGTTTTTCACAAGGCTAGAAGTATCTGGAAAGGGTATGTGGTGTCTGCAAGCAGGTAGGGAGGGTATGGTAAAGCACAATAACATATGGCTTTGTATGTCCGACTCCAACGTATTAGGATCACTTCAAATGAAGACACAGTAGTTTTAACAGGTTGACATTCAATTGAATTCAGGACTATGATACCCAGGTCTGTATCCAACTGAATTTGCCACCAGATCAACCCATTCGCCCGTCTAGATCCTGTCCTACATGGTACATCTAGCAGTTGCGCTGGCACACTGCCTGCCAGATGGTCAAGCACTGAGAGAGGCCAGCAGGGGGCTGACCCTGGCACTGACTGGCCTGCTGGGCGATACAGTTGGTGTAGCTTCCTCCGGGGCAAGCGCGGGCCTCGAGGTTGTTGAGGTGCTCGGGCTCAGGGGCAGCAATGCCAACGGAGACGAGAGCCATGGCGGCGATGAAGATCTTCTGTAAAGAAATGAGTATTTGGATCTGGGGAGTATTTTAAGGGTGTAAATGTGTTGCTTACGGCGGGGGAGAGCATCTTGAAGAGTTGAAATGAGGTTGAATGATGTTGATTGAGAGTGTTGTTGTGATGATGAGAGGGTGCTTTCTTGAAATAGGGAAGATGATCAGCTATATATACTCGATCCTAAATCGATACGACCTCGGAGACTCTCTCATCAACACAGCTGCGTAGCATCACCAAGGCCATAGTGCTCGTGGCCGCATGGGTCTGAACAACCATTATGGGCTAACATCCTGCTGCACAAAGAACTAACAGGTCACATCACTGGTCTTCACACATAGCCCCTTGCATGTCTCAGATGAGTTGATAGGCCGATGGCTGGCTATGGGTCTGGTGCGAGGGCCCGGTTGATCTGGTGGGGGTCTGTCTGGGGTCGGATGCTGGAAGTAAGCCAACCTTTTTATCTAATCTGATGGATTAGATCGTCCGAGCCCACTTCGTATGGCAATGCATGTTGGTCCTATGCTTATTGGGCGCCCCTGCATAGGGCTTTCTCATCCACTCGCGCCTACTGTGCCTCTCTCGATGTGACTACGACCGCAGAATTGGCTCATGCTCGTTCTTGGCACGTGGGTGAAGAACTAGGGGAGCAACGTAAGATGGCGACGGCCCGGTATTGGTAATATGGGACTTGCAGTTTCCCGGAATAGACGTGGCTCATGTACCGATCTATGGGAACGAAAAAGGGTTGAACGTTGTGAATAGAACACGATGGTCCTTACTTGCTCTTTGAGGGTTCTGACTTCGGCTCCATGGAGGCGGGGATCCATTTCACCCTTCAAATACATCTAGACAAGTAAAAAGCATTCTATCGATGGGATGTACAATAGAGCCATTGGTACAAGAAGGATAATCCCTCAACCGCGAATGGGGTTTAACGTGGGGGTGCTGTCGTGTGTTGTCAACGCGGACCAACATAGTTTTCCGGGCCTTGAATGCTATTATGCCAAGCAACACCAAAGTGCATGAAGCTAGATCCTAAGAGTAGCAATGTTGCGTTCGTATAGCAATTTGAACAGAGCTATCCGCCCTTAATCCGGTAAGAGCGCGACTGTAGCACGTAGTAAGGGGTTCGGACATAGCTGCACTTGTACCTAGGTATTCTAACTACCTATCATCTTCTGTTATTCCTATGAGCACGTGTGCTGGACACCCAAAGAGCGAGTGAGAATAAGCCGTGGTGATTTGAATAATGTCCCAGAGACCAGCAAAGGTTGGACAAGAACATGACTGCCAGGGCTTTTGAGCTACAAGCCTGTCTCTGACTTGATGTAGAATCTTACGAGAGATCAGCATAACTGGATCAGAATGAGGATTCCATGCGTCATTTTACAGGCACGGAACCAACAGAGCATGCCCCCAGTTGCCAGCCCGTGCCGGGGAAAGACAAGGGACGAACGGCTTTTGCCGCGCCTGAAGGGCCATGGGCCGTTATTCCTCATGATACTTTTCGTGGTCATCGAAAATCCTCAAAAGATTGATCCACAACACGGTCGAGACTCTGCTGGCATGGTTCAGTAGGTTTTCCCGCGAATCCCACGCTGACAGACCACGGCGGGATCTTCGCGCCTACTGCTCTTACTGTCCGGCAATCCCTGTTGTGCTATTCCGAAGTCGGGCATGTGACCGCTGCAACGTGTGATTTTGTACTCCACGGGCTGCCATGAGTAATCTCAGCGGAATATCCAGACATTTCTGGCTTCTGCTCCAGGATAGATATGTTGTGTCCTGAAGACACTTCGAGATGCTGACACTGGAATTTCTGAGTTTCAGAAATTGAATGAATCCCTAAGTTAGGATCATGTACGAGAACGAGTACTTGTCAAACAAGTAGTGATGGAGGCAACCATTGCCAAGCTTTTAGAAGGCTTACCGCCCCCATACTGCTTGCCAGGGTGAGGACAGGGCCTTCGGAGAAAGCTCTGACCAGACTTGGCATTTGATGATGTTGCACTCGAGAGGTTGACAGTTGATCCACTGTTCTTTGTTACAGTTCGATCTTCGGGCTCAGTTAACCCATCAAGGGCCGGGCTGTAACTATAATAAAGAACAGATCTTCAACACATTATAACATCATGACCCGATGTTAACACAGTGGCCTATTTAAACTTCTGCAGCAGCAGAAGAGTCATACCTAGCCACATCGTCTTTGTTACAGTTCAGGCCCGGCTTCTTAATGAAATAATTGAGCCATAAGACCGACATTTGATCCACCCGAAGAAGCTGAGAAAAGGTTGGAAACATTTTGGTGCAAAGGGAAACTCAAAACAAGGAATCAGAGCTGATGCAGTAACTCCTTGGTTCGGGCATTTATTTCTTCCTTTCCATAGGGATAGAGAGGTCATTAAGCACAGCGGTAAAGAGCGTAGCTCCATGAGATCGCCAAGGCGAGCTTGTTGTTGGGCTGAAAATCGTTTTTAGAAGTATAAATTTCAAGAGCGAGATGAAATGTTGCTACAATTTATTGAAACCCTATGCAACCTGAACTGCAAGCCAGCAGTTTAGCCTCATTTACATTCCTCCACAGCCTTTCTGGTTTCTCTGGAGCCATGCTTTATCCAAATTTTACAAGCCCCTCGTTCTCTCCTCTGCTTCGGCAATCCATTCTCTCAACTTGGATTCAGACCGGATCTTGAAGCCAACCTTGAACGGCTTTGGGTCTGTGGTCAATGACGTGGGATTGGCGTTACACTCGATGGCATCCATAACAGGGAAATCAGTCTTGTCCTTGGGAGGAAGGATTTCAAAGGCGGTGATGATGCGGATGTAAGCGGTGTAGAGTTCGCGATTGGCCAAGTGTGAGCCAGCACACATTCGTGATCCTGCACCATATCCATAGTGTGGAGTGCCGACTTCCTTGTCGTCGAGGAACCGCTCTGGGATGAATTCATAAGGTGACCTAAATCGTGCCTCGTCATAGTCCGCAGCATAGGCATTCTTTCAAAATTAGTTAGTTGAGCTTTGAGGATTCATCGGGTTACGTGGCTTACCATGAAGAAAGTTGTTCCTGCGGGAATGACTGTGTCCTTGTATGGAATGTCTCTGATGTTGACTCTGGGCAAGCAGATCGGGATGACTGTCCAATAGCGCAGAGTCTCCTTCACAAGAGCCGTGATGAAAGGGACCTTCTCCTCGACAAGACACTTCTCCCAAGCTTCGCCATTGGGATATACTTCCTGAATGGCCTGGAGAGCTTTGGCTTGAATTTTCTGTCCTTCGGGGGTTGCGAGATAGGCTACACCCATGATCAAGTTGCCGGGAACAGTGTCGAGTCCTGCAGAAACCATGGTCAAGCAGATGGATTTGAGTTCAGCTAGAATGGTCTCGTCAGCATCGTGCATAACTATCAGGGGCAGGATCATCAAATTACCTTCATTCAGCTTTGCCTCGGGATCCTTCAGAATGTTTCCAGTGATGCAGGGCTTGTCGGTACCGTTGGCTATCCGCTGCTTCAGATCGTTGAGCATGTCTGTGAGATACTTGTCACGCCTCGCGCGGAATTCTCCAGCTGCGGAGTTTTGAGCTCCCCAGAGACGCAGTAGTGGAACATAGTCTTGCCAGTTGTTGCTCGTAGATCGGAAGTTGGAAATCTCGCGTTCCACATGGGTGATCTCGTGGAGGAGCTCGCTGTTGACATCGCCATCGATACGGAAGCCATAATTGAGCGTCAAAGATGTGTTGAGAGCGAACCGAGCAAAGTAAGGGGATGGATCCAGGTCACTGTTGCCGTTGTCGCAATCTTCAAGCAATTCCCTGATGCTGGTTGTGGACTCGAGATCCAAGATTGGCATGTAAGACTGGACGGCGGGTCTGTTGAGCGCGGTGGCGGCAGCCTTTCGACGGGCCTTGCAAGAGTCATCCCAGGGAGAAGTGCCGATTGTGAAGCCTTGGGATGATGACACGACAGAGTGAAACGTGTGAAAGGTTGGGCGAGAGATGAGTGCGGCCTGGTGGGTGATCCAGAAATGTTTTACCGAGTCATACGAATTGACAAAGACGACGCGCTGTGACAGTTAGTGATGCGCCTTGAACAAGAGAAAGGTTCAAAAAAGGTCACCAACCTTAGTCCCAAGCCGTGTCTGGAAGACCGGGCCATACTTGGCTGCCCATTTCTGCGCGACTCGTGCATGGTCCGTCCCCAATTGAATGAGATTACCAAAGATTGGAACACCAGGAATCTCCGGGATACCCTTGATCTTGGGGATATCCGTCGAATTCAGAAATCTGATCAGCGCGTACAAGACGACGACAGCGGCGAGGTAGAGGACTAGAGAAGACATGGTGAATAGCTGTAACCACGATGACTTTGCTAGAACGAATGGAACAATATTACGGCCAGCTTACGGCCCTTTTAATACCTCCAACTTCATCTACAGAGTTATAATGTTACCTATTACCCGGCTCTCATTCGTCACGCATGTCGTATCCCCAGATCTTGGAAGACGGGGGCGGCCGAAAATGCGGGGATGGGTCCGAGACCCGAAACCGACGATTCCGATTCCGATTCCGTGATGCCTCCACTGTGGGTTGAAGCGTTCAAGGTGGCCCTCTCATTATCCGGATATTAACTACGCTGGGAATACTTTATCGGAGCGAGAAGCAGTATCTAGAGTATGGACATGGTGATTCGCACCCTCATGGTCTCCTCAGACCTGATACTGGGAGGCATCTGCTGGATGTGCGAATGCATTCAAGACTGTTCTGATCGTACCCTTACGATCCTCACCCGTGACTCCTCATTGCCATAGCAGAGCTACCCCAAACACTTTGCTCCGGCTTGCTGCGCCATTGATGCGACCACACGAAATGTGCTTATCAAAAGGTGCTTATCGAGAGGAGCAAAGATTGACCCCATCCTCGGCACTTGTTCGTCCTCTCCCCGCAACCTAAGCTACGTCAGGGGGTCGGGGTGAGTTAGCGCGCATTGCGACCTCACCCGTCATCCCTGGGGTGGCTCAGATGCATCACCCTCCTTCATCAACCTTCAAACCCGTCATACCCAGTCTCCATGTCTTCAACGTCTTCCCAGTCAAAGAAGAGGCGCTGTCCGTACACGTCGGTCGCCTGGTCCGTGACCCTCTCATGCTTCAATCCTTGTGACTGTGTGCTAACTGGCGGCGTAAAGCGACAATTGCAAGCGTCGCAAAACAAAATGCAGCGGAGGCAAGCCTTGCAAGAGCTGTGGAGATAGTGGTGTCTCGTGTGTCTATGAGCGTACAACTCGGTTCCGCTCCGGTGGTCGTAGCCCGTGAGTATCCGTCCCATGTCTCTAGAGATTCCGAATTGGCACCGTCTTCTGATCCATCCGTCGCGTCGCCCCGACGTCTTGCTTGGCCTCATGTTTTGACCTCATGCTTACCGTTGCACATAGAGCTGAAGTTAAATACACAAGACCGCGGAAATCACCCAAAGAGAGCCAACCGAGCCCAGCTAGCCAAGGAACTGATGTACCAGTCAACAGAACATCCCAAAGCCTTCCATCGCCTACGTCGCCTACTAGGCCAGGCGCATCAGATTATTACTTGACCCTTGCACGACAACGCCTCACGGCTATCAGTCCGGATGGAAGTGTCCCACAAGAACAAGACCACGATGTTGAGCCAGCTGGGATGGTCCGCATGAAATTCCTCGTTCAACAATGCATCAATACCGCAGGAACCCCTCTATCTACACTCTCATTGAGTGATTGGACGCAGATAATTCAAGTCTATGAGGATGAAATAGGCCTTCAATACCCGTTTCTTGATATCCAGGAACTACAAGAGACGATACGTTCCACGAAACCAGGGACCACGCAGGGTCGTTCTGAAAGACTTGACGCACATGTCTCGGGGCGTCGATACCAGGAGCGACTTGATGACATTTTGAGTCTCATATTCTATACTGTATCGATTTTGGCCGACCCTGCTTCAACTGAAAGGTCCAAGCCCTCGGTTGAGTCCATCTATGGAGGTGCTGTTGCTCGGTCCCAGCTTGGAAATCTCCATGAGGATGATCTGGTCTTGATAATCTTGGGCGTAAGTTTCGTTAATACTAATCTTATGATGAGAAAAACATCAGCAAGGCAGGTACTGACATGAATGCAGAGCATATTCTTCTTTCTCAGCGACCAAGAGATTCTGGCCTGGAGGGGAATCGGGATGGTGTTTCGACTGCTCCAAGAGTTGGAAGATACCCCCGACCGGTCGCAACTTCGTGTACTACCAAACGACAGAGGAGTGATAAGTCCGGAGTTCTACTGGTCGGTATATACCCTCGATCGACGATGGAGCTTTGGAACCGGTCTGCCGTTTGCAGTCCAAGACTCGGATGTGAGATATCGTCCGAGTTTAAAGGTACGTCTACCTTTTTCGTCACCTGGTACCCAGATACGGGATGGGAAATTAACACGTATCGGACATCTAGGACAATTCCCTCTCTTGTGCCTACCTGAAGTCGATGGTTTCATACTGCGAAGTCTCGTCCGAGGTCCAGAAATCAATCCTTGAGACACCGCAGTCTATCGTATCAGGATCTAAACGAGATTTTCTCAACTTCAGAGTAGTGCAGTGGCAACAAAATCTACCACAGGGTCTTCGCTTTTCCGGCATCGATGACAAGTTTGACCCAGTCAAGGAGAAGCGCGGAGAGTACAAGATGCGCCTCGCTCTCTATTTGAGGGCCAACCAAATGCGCATCATAATTCACAGAAAGTTCATGGCACGCTCAGAAATGAACACGATTGATGCTACCGAAGCGAATGTCATGGCTTCAATTACTCGAGACTCGATCCGCGTTTTGCTGCAACTGGCCCGGGATACGGACATCTACGTTGCCCAGCAAAAGACGTTTAACCACTTTTTAGAAACCGCATTGTCGTCTCTTCTTCTGATAATGTGCTCCACAGAGGACTTGAGGAGGTTTTCCTACCTTTCCGACGTTGTGGAGGCACTGGAGCTGGTCGAGCAGCTCGCAAGTCAGTCTGCTATTATGCAAAATATGTGGTGCAAGATGCAGAGCATCAAAGAAGCCATCAAGGATATCCAGGCTAAGCTGTCTGGTGAAGTATCATCACAATACGGCCAAGCCGACAAGGAACCTCACGAGGCTGGCTTGGTGGAACAAGAAGCACCAATTCCGATCGGGCCGATGTCTCCCACTGAGATGATGATGGTCGCCACTACCATCCCGCCAGCACCCAATTTGATGGAAGAATTTGACAGCTTTGAAGCTTTGGATGAAGCTGGAGGACTTAATTTTGCAAATTTTCCAGAACTTGGACAATTCTTGCAGGAGTATGAGAACTTTTACTTTTGATGACAGTTTAGCACTTGAATCAGATACTCAATTGCATACGATATTCATGCCCTTAATAAGACGATATGCTGATTAAAGGGTAGCGAAGTTATGCGCTTAATAGCAATGAAGAAAAAGTTTGACCCAATCATTATCCGCTGCAACTGCCCCTCTTCAAAAATGCAACGTTTATGCACGTAATGAGGCATTGAGTGCCACTTTGCACATTGTCCAATCACAACGACATCAATTTCTTTTCTCAAAACAATCATGCGACATCAGAATTCATCATGTTCGCCAGGCCTCGTTTGCCACGTCCCAATGCGATCCGCAAATGCAACCCCCCGAGTATCTTAGCATGGCCTACAATCCAGACGATTCGTTACTCCTCCTTTAAAAGACGTCGTCGGTCAGAGACACACGAGTCGGCTGCTCTGGCACGGCCTTCAATCCAGAGATCCCAGAGATTCCAGACGACTCGTGTAAGAGGTGTAAAACGTCGTCAGTCAGAGACACACGAACCGGCTACTCTGGCATGGCTACTGGGATATGGCGACCAAGTCCAGCCATCAGGCGCTCCATGGCCTGACCTGTCCAAGCTGGTATTGGAAAATGCCAACCTCTCACTCAGAAACGTACGATTTCTGAGCATCGACATTGACGGGCTGCACCAAGACAAGGCCGGCATCCGCCAGTTTGACATTGGTGTATCCATCCTTGACACCGAACAGATCTACCAACAGCTTAAGCTACCACCGAACCGTCGCAAGAACCTAGCGGTCCATCTTATTAAATCCCGCCATTACGCCGTCGAGGATACCAGGCATGACATTGCAAAACGGATAAACTTCTCGTTTGGAGGCTGTAGGGTTATGTCGCTGCCAAAGTTGAGACAAAAGCTCAAGGACAAAGTAGAAGGCCGGAACGTGGTGCTTGTTATGCATGGGGCTGCCACAGAGGTCTCAGTCATGAAGAGCTTGAACATCAACCTGAACCCCGTCTTCACTATCGACACCACCACAACTGTACGGCATCTATTCCGAAGAACCAATCTAAAGCATCTTCTCGAGGTATACAGAATTCCACACAAGTCCCGGAGCCTTCACCATGCCGGGAATGACGCCCACTTCATACTACGAGTCCTGCTCATGATCGCCGTGCACCACGTCCGGGCCAAGTTGGGTGGAGCGCAGCTGCCGGACTGGGTGCCGGTTTTTGAAACAGTTGCACGATCTCCCAAGCCAGAGCTCGAAGAAATGCGGAAAGAAGGGCCGCTGAGGATAACCCCAGGACATAAAGAGTTGAAACAGATGGAACGAAGAAGAGAAACACTAGAGAGGATAGCGAGAAGGCTAGAGAAGCCCTCAAAAGAGGAGGAGGAAATGATGCCGTGGAGGATGGTTCAGGTTCAGCCGACATTGCCAGACTGCGACGCCATGAGCCCTCCTTGGGCTGACCGTTACACCATCAGCCAGTATGGCATGCTGCCTTGATGTTGAGGATCCTGATCCTGACAAGCTGCATGGCCGTTGGGGTTTGTGGCAGTTGACGGTGTGGTCACTTGAGAAGGCTTTGTTCTGTATGAATAGATGTACAATCGTTGCGAGCTTACATGGCACAATGGTGATACTGATACGCAAAATGAGCCTCACCAGGACTTCCAGAAGAGGCAGCAATCACCTGATACCATGTTGAATAACCTTGAAAACGGAAGTAGGGAATAAAGCTGACGCCTGGTTTGGCTGGAAGAAGCTGTGTGACTTGTAATAATGGTTAGTCAAATGCTGCCATCCCAGGCTGTGCCGTTTCGTGCAACACTTTCCGCGTGTGTGATGGCAGGCTAGATAAGCTGCCACACCTTAGAAATCTCCGCCTTTCTGTGGTGTACCGTCGTGGTGCCCGACGCAAGGGAGCTGACGGTAGGTAAGCGGCTTCCGCGGCAAGGTGTGTCAGAGGATGGAAGTGAAAGGTCGTCAACAAGCGGTTGAAAAGAAAGTTGATCATCAGCCTCGGCAGGTGGAATTAAGGCCTGGCGTTTGAGACAGTTGAAGCCACAGACAGCCTTTGATCACGCATCATTGACCCACGGGGAGATGAACGAAGCATCCTATTTGACAAGAAACCAATAATTTTCAGCTCATTGCTTCTTCGAGAGTAGCATACTACGTCGTTGAGTGACCTGTCTCATCTACTGCGGGGAAGTGTGTCGATGCCAACGCCACAGCGTTCAGCTGCAGCTTGTCCTACCCAGTAGAGGTCACCACCACTATCAGTTGATGGCTGAGACCGATGGTTCTCGATCGCTGATTATCCTATGATTCTCGACATAGACTGAGACAGCATCTTGACCGGTTTTTCAGCCAGGCAGCCACGATGCTTACGGGCTGTGATTCTAGACCTTGGGCAGGTGATCTACTATGTGATATTACGACTGCCAAGATATAACTGTCCGCATCTTGACGGAGGTTGAGAGTGAGTTATCTCAAGATAAATAGATCAACTTCCCAAATAGAGTAGCTTACAATGACAGACTCTACAAACCCACCAGAAGACCTCATCAAAATCACTTGCCCAAAACCCCTCACTCCCACCATGGCTTCCCACGGACCCATCTGCTTCACCAAGATTATCGGTGTGCATGATGAGGACGATGTTCCCCCCAAGGAGAGCGTGGCCAACGCGGTCTCGGAGAACCCTCGCAATGGATCGCTCACCTGGCCTCCAGCGCCGAATGCACCTGGCGGACCTCTTGGTCTTGCCATGGTGACTAGGAAGTTCTGGTTGGCGGGTCGTGAGTTGAATATTGGCTTCAAGGGAGGATCTACTTGGCAGAAGGTTAGTCTCTCGTCTACGCAATGTTAAACGTCAAGTTGTTGACATGCTTCTAGGACAAAGTCAAGAAGTATGCCCCAGAGTGGTGCCAGTACGCCAACATCAAGTTCACCTTTGTCAACTCGGGCGAGGTGGACATCCTCATCTCCTTCAATCCCGGTGGAGGATCCTGGTCCTATCTCGGGACAGACAGCTCCTGGTTCAGCTCGCAGAACCGTCCATCCATGAACCTTGGATGGATCAACGACAACACTCCCGAGGATGAGATCAAGGGCGTCATTCTCCACGAGTTCGGCCACGCCATTGGCGCCATCCATGAACACGAGAGCCCTTATGCTAATATCCCCTGGAACAAGGAACAGGTCTACAAGGACCTCGGTGGGCCTCCCAACAACTGGGACAGACCCACTGTTGATAACAACATGTTCACGCTCTACTCACTTGATGAGACTCAAGCAAGTGACTTTGATCCGGACAGTGTCATGCTGTACTTCTTCCCTGCCAGTTGGACCACCAACGGCAAGGGAACCAAGCAGAACAACTCCTTGTCCGCGACCGACAAGGCGTACGCCAAGTTTTCGTATCCTGCTGATGCCTTTGATGCTGGGCAGTTCAACACCATCGAGGTTCGTCCTTGGGACAAGCCTCAGGCAAACAACGACAAGGTCATCTACTACCAGAAGAAGTATGACGCTGTACCTGAGATCCCACTTGGCCTCACGTCTCTTGACATCAGCAAGGATGCCAACATCCGCATCACAGCCGCCGCCAATGACCGGACCACAGAGAAGTTCAAGGCTTCTCTTCAGAGCTGGGCGGACACCACGCTCTACTCAGCCTCCATGACCTTCTTGGAGAAGAGTTCCCGCTTCAGCTACATGCAGACTGGCATCTGGAACACTCAAGAGACCCGGCCCTGGAACCAGCCCCAGCTGACCCAGTCCAAGCGCATCAACTTCAAGACACCCTTCAACAGCCCACCCAAGGTCATCACCTGGCTGCAGGCCCTCGACATGGACAAGAACAAGAACTGGCGCATCAAGGTGTACCCCACCGACATTGACGCCAAGGGCTTCACCATCCACGCCGACTCATGGGCCGACTCGGTCCTCTACAGCGCCGGCGTCACCTGGCTCGCCTTCCCAGCGGACCAGCAGGGTGTTGCGAGCGGCAAGTTCAGCACGTCGGATGTGCGCCCTTGGAACAAGCCTCAGCATGAGAACTCGGGTGTCTTTAACTTCCAGCAGCCGTTCTCCAAGGCGCCCAAGATCATCATGGCGATTGACACACTGGACTACGACCACAACAAGAATCTGCGTGTGAGGCTGAGCACGTCTTCGGTTACCAACACGGGTATCACTTGGCATCTGCAGAGTTGGTGGGATAGTGTCATGTATGTTGCTGGTGCTTCGTTCTTTGCTTGGACTTGAGTGCATTGAGTGAGAGACGAGAGAGAGTGGGAGGAGAGTTACTGCACAACAAATTGAACTCGGTGAAACTCATACGTATTGATCTTAAATCTCTCTGTTGTTTAGAATTTTCGCATTAGACAACACTGAGGGTTATAGTCTCAAACTGCACGATTCTTCACGATTGAACCCAAGGTCAGGCCAGAAGACTTCTATCCGTAGTAGTGCCCATACTTGGACTCCCGCTTGACAACTTTGATGAAGATCTCGGCTATGATCCGCACAACCCTCTCAGTTGGGTGTAGATCGTCGTACCTATCACGAGTTAGATAACCAAATAATAAGTGCGTGCGTACACTTACCAGAAGAAACTCGAGAGTGGGTGTGAAGAGTCAACGCAATCCTCGGGTGCTGCATCCTCTGGACAGAAATGGTAAACCCCAGTAACATTAGCGGGATAACTCAAGGAAGCGCCCGGATCCTCCAAGACATCCTTCAGCAACGCGTTGACGTCGAATACGGTCAGCGACGCTCCAGGCCAGCGCTTCTTGATGGTATGCTCCAGCAGTCCACCCTGCTCGAGCATCGTGTTGACGCTAGTCGCATACTGGTGGAGCTTGGAGTTGTACTGCGTAACATTGTACTCGGACTTTCCGGGCCAGTACTGACTGTGTTCCGGCCCACCAAGTTCAGGAAGGGCATAAACAGGCGCGTGCTCCAATGGAAGCATGTTTAGTACGACAAAGTGACGTCCACCAGCTTTGTAGACTCCATCGAAGGATTTCCACATGCAGTCGACAATGTCAGACAATGCAGCACCAGGGGCCATGGAGTCAGAGAGAAAAGCGTCCCAGCCGAGATCATTCGTGCCAATCCACATGGCATAAACAGTATTGTCTGGCTTTCGGTCGGGAAACATGCCATCAACGGCGAGGTCTTGTTGGAAGGCAGGAACTTGGTACTCAAGCACTGTAGGGACCGTCCAGTTGTAACCTGCAAAGATTTTCGTTGCAATTTTGGATGAGCAGGTAGCTCCTCCGACACCGTAGTTGTAGTATTCGGCACCGCTGAGGTTGGCCACGAGTCGTCCCCAGGCATAGCCGCCGCTCAAGGTCTGGTTGTTGGGAGGGAATCTTGTTCCTGGTGGAGGCGCTTGACCATCGTGCTCCATGAAGTACAGGATTCGAGATTCGTCCGTGAGACTATCACCAAAGGTGACGAGGTTAGTCATGCTCCGGAGACCGCATTGAGGTCTCGTGGCAACGGCCGCCGCCGCCGCCGAGGCGATCAAAGCTGGGCGCATGGGGATCGTGCAAGGGAGATTAAACAATCACAGGAGATAGGCCTCAAAGACGAAGTGCTTCGCCAGCGATGCCAGGATTGAAGCTGAGCGATTTTAGGATCTCTTCAACTGAAAAGTTTGTGCAGGGTGAGAGCTGCATGTCTCGGCTTAGTTCAGCCTTGTCCTGCAGGGCCTGCCAGGGTCGTATCTGAGTGAGATAAGGCACCTAGAACACTATTGTGAGAATCCCCATGCAAAACGGCAGATTCGGAGAATAACTGGACACTCCAAGGCGCTTCAGTCATATGATTGAGCATTTTATTTCTTCACAAGGGGGTTCCGCACTCTCCGCGCGCTGGCCGAAGTGGTCAAGCCAAGGGGAAGCGAGGAGACTACAGACCGCTGTTCCTGTGGCTACCAATTCCTCACATGACCATGGTTTCACAAATTTCTGGAAGCCAATGACCAATAACTGCAGTGGTTCTCAATTGATGACTTGATATGTCGCTCTTTCGCTTTGAGCGGCTCCCTGACCTCTTGACAGCTAAAGACAGGCACTTCCTATCAAGTCTTCTGTCAACTCCATGCTCAAGCTTGCTGTCTTCGCTTCAAATTGCAAATCAACCCCTCCTGTTGCACAAACCAAATATTCTTTGTATGCCATTCATGATCCGGACTCGGCAGCGACAACTCAAACCTCCTCAAGATCTCAGGAATAAGCTTGGCCATCTCCATGATGGCAATGTGCCTTCCGATACACGTGCGCGATCCACCACCAAACGCGAAAAATGACTGTTCCATCATCTTCAGCTGCTCCTCAGAGGCGTCAAGCCATCTCTCAGGTTCGAACTGGTCAGGGTTAGGGAAGACTTCAGGGTCGTGCTGTGTGACCCAGGCGTTTATTCCGACGATGGTTCCTTCGGGGATCGGCTTGCCGCAGATGACGGCGCCACCGGCTGGCACGTGTCGTTCCAAGAGAAGACCGACAGATGGGTGAATTCTGAGTCCTTCCTTGAGCACGGCTTGCATGTAGGGCAGATTCTTGGTCGAATCCTTGAAAGAGATGGGCGAGCTGAGAAGCCCAGCAGCAGCAGCATCATCAATCTCCTTGACTAGCTTCTGCATCTTCGCAGGACTCTTGAGAAGGTTGTAAAACACTGCACGGAGGGCAATGGCTGTCGTATCAGATCCGGCAAAGACGTTGGTGCTCAGGTGAACGACAATGTCTCGCGTCGACATCTTCTCTGGGTTTGCGAGCTTGACAGCGAACCACTTGCTGAGCATATCTCCTTGCTTGTCGAGGGATTCGATGTTAAATTCTCCATCCTTCTTCAACTTGGAATCTTCATCGACATTGCCGATGACTGCGTTCACAGCCTTGAGTGTAAAGGTGAGAACTTTGTTCCATCCTTCCATCGAAGGGAAGAGGATAGGGAGGAGGGGGTTGCCCATTAGGAAATTGTGCCAAACTGGAACCTGGCCGATCGAACTAGCATAGACCTTCAAAGGATTAGTAGTGTCCGCTCGAAAGGCAACGGTAACCTTACCAGCAAGTCTTCAATCGCTTGAATCATTCCATCCACATCTCCACCCTTCTCAAGGAAACCCAACTTCTTGGCAAAAGTAATCTCGCCGACAACGTCAAAAGTATAAAACTGAAGCCACTCTCCAAAGTCGACAGGAGCCGATGCGTCGGCATACTGGGACAGCTTCTCAATCAGCAAGTTGGTGCAAGAGTCGACAGCTGGCTCGTTCGTCAATAGTGTGCTGAGACTGAAAGCGTTGGCAACTGGCTTCTTCAGCTCGCGATGGTAGTCTTCGTCTCGAGTGCCGAAAAGGTTGACTTCAACCTTGCCCTTCCAAGTGATGGACTGAATAGGATAAAATGCAGTCTGTCATCATCAGCATGGAAAGCAACACCTAATTCTAGAGAGTCAAACCTTGGTGTAGCCAGACTTCAGACCATAGATCTTCTTGATCTCGCGAGGGTCCGAGATGGAAACATGGTTCGGGCCAATTCGAACAAGGGATCCATGTTTCCGATGAAGGTTGATCGCCGTCTTGTGAGCTTGTCCACTTCGGACGTCTAGGTAGCGCCAGACCCCAGAGTATGCGGCCAGTGTTGGTCCAGGAAGAGTTCTCAGCCCCCGGCGGAACTTGTTTCTGATCGAGTGAAGGATGAATACGGTGACAGCTAAGAAGGAAAGGTTCAAAGGAGTAAGAAACTGGACAAAGGTCCGGATCATCTCAGATGTGGTAGCCATGCTGGCACGTCTGATGTCGGCGGCCGCAAGGAGGAGGACAGGTCTGTATTCTGACTGCAATGGACTGCAAGTATAAAATCTTATTATATGAAAGAAGAACTGTTACAAACACGAGAAATTCTTATTCCCGTTGAAGTCTTTCCCGGACTACATATACTCTGAGGAAGACACGGGGAAGCCACCGCAAAGACCCCCGGTGATCCATAAGACGGGGTGCATTAGCCCAAGGTGCGGAGTAACAACCGCCGCAAGATGCCGGTAGTTCTCTCTGAACAGGGATAATTACAATGCCATTGCAGCGATTCGCTCCCCAGAACCGATAACGACATCGGGAATGGGGGGATCGACGTCGGATTTCTCGAGAATTGACAGGGAAGGTTTCCGTGAGAGAGGGGTAACGACACGACTTGTTGGTTCTTAATTGGGGGAACTGAGACATTTCGCCCGCTTGCATTAGAGCGTGTCAGGAGAGTGCCACGTTTTCTGTGTATCGATTAGAGCAAGTGATCAGTTCTTGGTTTGAAGAGCCAGTATACTTTGGCGGTCAATTGCTTAATTGGCTTTGAAGTCATCCTTAATACTAGTTCAACAGACGATCTGTTCTTTATTATAGTTGCAGCACGGCCCTCGGTGGGTTAACTGAGCCCGAAGATCGTTCAACAGACATGGCCAACAAACCAAAAGTGGACGCCACAATGTCTGATTTAACCCCCGACAACATCCCCAATGCAGTCGCAATCATTGCGGAATACCCGTGCAGGAGACAGGCGACTTGACTGTGTGATGGAGCGCTTACCACACATGTCCACGATTTCATGCACGAGACGCGCCTCAGCACGGAGGAATGGAAGCCAGACTCGATTTCTTGGTCGAAGTCGGTCAACTCACAACCGATGTGAGGAATGTACGCGAACCAACAGCTGAGTCTGGCTCATCCATTGACCCGAGACGCCACCAACACTGCATAGGAATCCCTCTTGCTGTCGGATGTGTTGGGCCTGTCCCTGCTCGTCGACTCCATAGATCACCCCAAACCCGACAACTTAACTAAAGGATCGGTTCTTGGGCCGTTCCACACCCATGATGCCCTAGAGGTTCCCCATGGGGACCCCATATCTTTTGATGACAAGGGCCAACCGCATTCTGCCTCTGCACAGTCAAGGATTCAAGCAAGCTCCATCGAGGGCTTCAAAGTGGATGTCTAGGAGACGGACAACAGTGGTTTTACGACTTACAACACTCTGATAGGTCGGAGCCAGCTGGTCGTGCTGGTTTGAGTGGGCAAGCTCTGGTTCAAGGCCATTATTCCCGCTAGCTCTCCGATCCCCAGCGATGTGTCCGTCGGAAAGTTGCTGACAGGGCCCCATCACCACTAGCGACCGGTCCATATGCACTTTATGTTTGTGAAAGATGGCTTGTATGATCTCATAACGTCGTGATAATGCAGTGTGACCTCAATTAGGTGGATTACTTGTCGCTGACTCATTGGACAGGACTCTGTAGATCGACCCCGATCCGTACCTGAGATCGGATGCTGTCTTTGAAGTCAAGTCAGGCCTGATTGTCAAATGGCAGAAGGCACCGGAGGAGTTAGCAAACCACTGCGACATCTCACAGGGCATTAAATTATTAACTAACCAGTAACGACTTTGTTCTTATCACATCTGGTGAGTCGACTCGGCCAAGGGACAAGAACCCTATTGATGCTCTCGGCAACATCTTCCCGGGCCGAGCGTGCGTTTTGGTCAACCACACTTGCCGGTGCCCGACTTAAATTGGACAAAGACAGAGAGCTAATATTGACAAAAAACACCAAGTGCCGCAATTAATAGGTTTCAATAACCGCATGGGATGTTTAGTAGCCAAGCAAAGGGCTTTCTTGTCCATCGGCTTCATAAGGTCGGTCTATCACGTGGCGCCCATATCCGAACACACATCCGTCTTCGGCTATGGGACTTGGCATGTTCGGCTGTGGGCCGGGAAAGGCACAACCCTTGCTTTGACGACTTATCTTCAAGAGACATGACAGTTTTTAGAACGAGTTTGCTTAGCGTATGGAAATATCTAAGTTGTTGACTTGTTGCAAGCAATGTGGGCTCATGCCTTCGGTTGACATGAATGAGTGCTTCAGATATTGCGGTCAAGCAAGCTGTTCTCCATGTAGCATTGCTCTTGACAAAATTTCCGCTCGAGGGCAGGGCCCTGTGAGTTCAAGGTTTCGCTTCTATGATAATTCCCCCATCATCTTGATCATTAGTTCTTGCGCTGTCTGTAGAAGCGGCTACGACACCAAGAATGGATGCTCCACCGAGAGCAGGGGGCGGCTAAGGACTTTTGCTCACCGACATATGGTGTAATAAATAATTCACTCACTCGACGCTATCCTCCTCTATAGCTAGGTATCACAATCAAGGCGCCCTTATCATTGAGTTATCATGTTTACTGAAGATCAGATTCAACAATATCTTGCCCACCTCGGCTTCCCTCATGACAAGCATCCAACTGACCACTTGGAGTTTCTGACGGAACTTCAAAGACGACAGCTAGAACTAGTACCATTCGAAAATTTATCGCTACACTATTCGACGAAAAAGGAGCTTTCCCTAGACCCATATGATCTGTTTGATAAGATTGTTGGCCGTTCTAGGGGCGGTTATTGCCTTGAAAACAACAACTTCTTTGGTCATATCCTGCGATGTCTAGGGTTCGACTGCATCTACGTTGCCGCTCGTGTTAAGCGGCCGGCACCTAACGCCAAAGGATCGAACTGGTTCGGATGGTAAGTTATGAGCTGAACAGGGGTCCTATCGTATATGCTGACCTTGATCTCAGGAGCCATTTGGCCGTCCTGGTTACTATTCGGGAACAAAAATATCTCGTTGATGTCGGACATGGAAGCGCATGCCCAACGAAGCCCATACCACTGGTAACAAATACCATCATTTCCGGTATCCACCAGCAACAGCTTAGGCTCGAGTACAAGAGCTTGCCAGAGCACACGGATAAGAGCCAGAGGGTGTGGGTTTATTCCCACAGAGAAAACGACGAGTCCCCATGGGTTGAAGCCTACTGCTTCACTGATCAGGAATGCCTGACTACGGACTTTGAAGTCATGAATCACTTTCCTATGACGAGCCCCCAGAGTCTCTTCACTCAGAACGTCCTTGCGCAGAGATTCCTAGCAGATGAGAACAACATTGAGCTGATTGGCTCAGTTATCCTGTTTAGAGATCGACTCAAGTTAAGTATGCCAAAGGTCGGAGTGACGGAACACTTTTTGAAGAGTGAAGCCGAGAGGGTGGTTGCGATTGAACGTTGGTTTAGGATACGGTTGGATGCCAAAGATAGGAGGGGAATTCAAGGCTCGCCAAATGAACTTGGAGTATAGCTTTGGATAGTGATAGTTTATTTAGAGTAGAAAACAAATTATACAGCATTAAAGTCAATTGTTTGTATAACCTTGGTTGTTGGTAGCACCGAAATCTTGCTTGAGTAATGGAGAGGCTTAAAATGGGCATTGTTCCTGTTACCAGGGCTTCTCCAAAGAAGGAATTAGCCACAATAGCAAATAATGCAGTTTGGGTAATGAAAGTAATGTGAAAATGACAGAAAATGACCGTCTTGGGATTGTTGATGATGAGCAGTATTGCCTACTCAGCTATCGATTGGGGCCATGTGCAGGTCTGGTAATTGAGAAACCTAGTTGCTGCGATAATCCGTGGAACCCTGCTCGGGATGTACGCCCTTGTGATGCCTGCTATCGGAGAACAGGATCGTCATGCCGACACAGCAGCAGCCACTTGGTCGCACATGAGCTTCGGAATTGGCGCGTACGTCATAATATCAAGGTAACTCAAGTCAGCTGGTTATTTACGAGCGAAGTGATATGCGGCTTATCTTGGTGGTAACTCTGGATAATGGACACGGTAGGAGTAGGATATCTAGGACTTCTCTAGATGCAATCTCAAGGAATAACACACCAAGCTACGCGTCTTTTCAAATTCCAAGTCCAAGGTTCCCTCATCTCGTTATAGCCAAGATCTGCAAGGTTCACCCGCCAGATGGCTCAGGAATATGAAAAATTACTCAAGTCAGCCCTCTGGTCCATCTCCGGTGGAACTGTGAATCTCGGAAAGATGAGCGGGCTCACGGCCCGGGACAACAGATGGCAGATGCATGTCGACCCGAGCCGTGTCGATCCAACCAAGACATGCATCTCCGCTTGAAGATGCGTTGGCGACGAGATATCGTGCCCCTGTAAGCACCGGATTGGGACCGTCAGATTTGTCGTTAGTGCATTTATGCCGTGCCCATAACTATCTTAGATACAGGCAGGATCCTTCATGCCTCCTTATCTGGACATATCCAATGTATTGGGGTTGTGAGTCAGGAAGGAATTTTTCGAGTGTAGATTCAGCCCATGTTACCCCATGTCCCGGCGAAGGCATCAGATATCTCGTACGACGGGCATGCCAAGGAAGGGTAGTGTGACATGGAGGCACACTTGAGGTGCAGTGCAGTGGTGTGCGAATAATGAACATGTGTGATCCACTTCCAAGACATCCAGACTAGTCTTTCGTTGACACCCATGGCCGACAGACGCCATCTGGTTGAGTACTTTGCAATCAACTTCACTATACGCCCTCCCTTGTTCTTGGGCTGAATTTCACGTGCACTTTACCCGTAGGCCGCCCTGATCCAACCCCATCATAACTCAAGCTCGGAAGTGGCTCGTTGGATGATTCACCTTGATCATTGCACACCTCAAAGTCATACAGAGCCACAAGCATAACCGTGGGTACTAGCATGTTGAGTTTGGAGAACTGAGGGTTGTTAGCTCTTCAGATCTTTTTTTTTCAGATTCAGGTGTCACAAGGATATCATTCTTACTCTCATAGCCGCTGTAAAAGAGTTAGTGGGCACTTCTTACGTGGCGTTTGAACATGTACTCACGGCAGCGATGGTTTCCAGAACCCCAACCAAGAAAGGAGTGTGGAGATTGCAATCCCTCATCTTTGCCCTTGTCGTATCGACTGGGATCCCACTCAAGAGGATCCCTGTACACAGAAGGGTCCATATGGGCGTCTTCGACAGAATACACCTAAGAACCATCAGCAAACACCTGGGTTAGAAGAGACGAGCGACTGTACCGCAAGACTGTCTTTTGGAATGACAAAATCTGTGTCTCCAACTGAGACACCCTTGTTGCCGATGTTCTTTCGCACAATTTGCCCTGCCATTGTGAATCTCATAGTCTCCTTTAAGATCTGCTCGAAAAGGGGAAACTCGCTCTCCCAGTCTTTGAGTCCAAGACGTTTGAACACATCAGAGACATCCTCGTTGGCCGAGCGCCGATACTTTACAATAGCCTGGTCAACTTCGGTCCTGAGCTTGGATAACCAGTTGGGGTTATGAGCCAAGTAGAGCAAGTTCCATGCACCATTGACCGTCATGTTGAGCACGCCTGCTAGCATGGCACCGATAACTGCCTAAGAACAAATTAGCAGGTTTATTTCTCAGATTTCAAAGGCCAAAACTTACGACAGTGATCACTGGGTCCGTGAATTCCTGATCCATCATCATCTGCATGGCATCACTTTCCCTCCTTCCCGTCCTACGCCGGTCGGTGATGAACCCTTGGACTATCCAGTGAAGTCTCGCATACGCCCAAGCCTTTTTGAATTTGGAGGGAGTGGGGAGTAATGGAAACCATATCTCAAAGAGAGAATAATCATCGAGGGGCTTGTAGATATCCCTTGTCCTGGCCACCAGATCTGGGTCGTTGGCAATATCATGAGTGCCAGCCATGCGGTGAGTCAGTTGATACATGAGGTAACTCAAATTTTCCACCGGATCCCATGCTTCAGACTGGTCTATGGTTTCGAGGAATCGGCGGCTATCATCGATCAAACGAGGTAGGTTGACCTCAATGTGCTCATCCTGCGCACATCGTTTGAACGTGAGCAGTGCAAGTCGAACATAGCTGTTAGTAAGGCTGTCAATCTTAAGGAAGCTTCCAGACAAAGTGGCAAATCTACAGAGAAATGTCAGTACTCTCAGTAAATGTGTACTAAGGTAGATAAGAGAAGCCGTACGCGGCCAGAGCATTCAGCTTTCGCGACGTCAAAAAGACTGTCCTTGCCACGTCCCCAGAGACAGAAACCATGTGGTTTGGACCATGCCAGAAGCTAAACTGCTTGTCTGGGCTTTGCTCCTTTCCATGTCGAAGGTATTCGTTTCGAGACTTTGTAAAGGTCGGTGAATTGAGTCCGCCGTGCCCGCCGAAAGCCCTGGGAGCACCTCGAGGGGGAGCCAGACGACCAAGAAGAGGCGCCACTGCTACCAAAGCAATGAGAATGACAATCACAGCTATAAAGCTGCCCGCCTTGAACTGTAGAGCTGCAAGGCTATTTAGAAGGATGGCCATTTTAACGGAGATGCTCTCAGTGAAAGACGAAAGGCTGTTGAGTTGGGACTGGGAGGAATGGCAAGAGGGCAGATGAAGGGGACCAAGTGAACAAACTGAAAGCATAAAATCTCTCGCAGCAACATCTTGCGGAACATCAGTTGGCTTTGAGTCTGGTAACACATTAGCTGTGATCCAGGCCGTACGCCAACCAACCAACCCGATGGCATAGAGGATCGATCAACGATGGCACAAGACGCAGAGTTCCAAGCCCGCCCCAGTCGGAACCCGTCCACTGATGTGGCAATGCAAGATTGGCAAGGTCAATCCTGTGGGCTTATGGGAATGCTCCCATCCCCACCATTCAGCTGGTGTTGATTCCGAACTCATTGCTAGCCTCCGCCTCTTGTCCAACGCCGGGACTCAGCATAGCAAGTCTACCAGGATGATGGCATATCACCAAAGCCGGTATCTTTCAAACACGTAGATCCTTCCCGTATGCGTGACTGGTTTCTAGGAAGGTATCCAGAGCATTAGTTTATCATCCAAGACACCATAACTGTTGGCTCCGGAAGGAACTGTTGATCCACTTGCTTACATGTCTCATATTAAGCCGCCTTCTCAACCCTCGCATTCTTCCGACCCTCCATAATTCTGGCTGCGGCACCCGGCAAAGCCCATCTATTCGACGGAGAGGAGGAACGGTCTTTGAGACAAGATGACGTGTGTATCCATAGGTGTCCTATCAAACCCTTGATATGGCATTTTTTGCGGTACGGGCCGTCTAAAAGAAACATGCATCACATGCCTCCCGAACCTCCATCACAGAGTAACACCCCACGGAAAGAAAGCGGGCTTTGAGCGCCACAGCGGAAGCGTCTTCCCGTCGTGCATAAATACCAAGACTCTGTTTTCTATCTCCGTTCTCACTGTAGTGGATTTGAAACTCCCGAGAAGCTGCAAGTATATGAACCAAGCGAAAAGGCAATGTTGCATATGCCCAGACAGAAACAGCCAGACTCCATCCCCCTCGGCCCTCGCTTCTCACAGATAATCTTTCAAAATGCAAAGCATCGATAATAACTCGCCCAGCTCATCCAATTACACCGGAAATTCTTCCCACGGCCAAAAGACAGATCGCAAATTATGGCGCCTGAACGATGACGACAGTCGTCACACCTGGCATTTGCTGCCTAATGAAGATGCTGCTCGCGACTGGCCTCAAACTTACGCAGAAAAGTGGTTCTTGGATCTACCCATGGTAAGTTCTACAGCTTCATACTCATTGTCTCCTAACTAATTGCAACCCCAGGACCTCCCCCCTCTCCCTGAAGCCAGAACCCCTTTAGAGGCCGCTCAAAATGGCCTCAACTTCTTTGAGAATCTACAACTACCCTCTGGTCATTGGGGAGGTGATAGTGGAGGTCCGATGATCTTCTGTGCCGGCATTGTCATGGCATGGTTCGTGACAGACACGCCAATCCCAGAGACCACCAAGATAGAACTCACCAACTATCTTCTCTCCCTATTCGATCCTGCCGAAGGAGGTTGGGGTCTTCACTCAATAGGCGAGAGCACTGTATGTGGAACCGCAGTCAATTATTGCGTTCTTCGAATCCTCGGCATGGACCCAGACCATCCAGTCCTTATAAGAGCCCGAAGCTTTATACAGGAGATGGGAGGGGCCATCTACTCTTCCATCTGGGGAAAGTTTTGGCTCTCGATTATCGGAGTCATGGACTGGGATATTGTCAATCCCATTCCCGCAGAAATATGGCTGTTGCCGGAGTGGCTGCCCTTTGCTCCCTGGAGACTCTACGCTGAGATGCGACTTGTAGCTCAGCCGATGAGCTACCTGTACTCCACGAGATGGCAATACCAAGGCAGCAGGGACTTGGTCAAGTCTCTCCAAGAAGAACTTCTTCTTGACCCTTTTGAGAAGATCAACTGGACCAACCACCGCAACACCGTCGCCAAGGTTGACTACAAGCAGCCAAGGACATGGCTTCTTAATGGTGCTAGTTGGGTGTTTGTCAACATTTGGGAGCCATACATACGACCAAACTTCCTCAAGAGGAGAGCCGAGGCTTGTGTGAGCCAACTCATCGACATGCAAGACACCAACACCGACTATGGTGGCATCGCTGCGACAGATGCCCCGATGAACACCGTCATAGCATATCTGCGATATGGTCGAGACTCTGTGCCCTTCCAGAGACATCTTGACAGACTACAAGAGTTTCTGTGGATGACATCCGGTGGCATGCAAACCAATGCCACAAACGGGAGTCAGTGTTGGGACACAGCCTTCTTGATCCAAGCAGTATGCCACTGCGGGTTCCAAAAGGAAGAGCGCTGGCGACCCATGCTTTTCAAGGCATACCAATTTCTAGAACGGCAGCAGATCCGAGAGAATTGTGTTGACCAGGAGAAGTGCTATCGTCAACCTCGCAAGGGCGCCTGGGCATTTAGCAACAAGGATCAGGGCTTCGCCGTGAGTGACTGCATCGCCGAGGCGTTAAGGGCTATTATGTTACTTGAGAAGACTGGAAACTTCCCCAAGATCTTTGATGATCAACGCATCTATGATTCCGTTGACTCGATCTTGCTGTATCAGAATGATACCGGTGGCGTCTCTGCGTTTGAAGCACGAAGAGGAGCTGGGTGGCTAGAAGAGCTCAACATCACCGAAATCTTTGGTGGCCACATGGTTGATCACGACTACCCAGAATGCACATCATCATGCGTCACAGCTCTCTGTCTTTTCAGGGAACATTGGCCCCACCACAGGAGGAAGGAAATCGATAACTTCATTGAGCAAGGAGTGGCATGGACCAAGAGAGCTCAGAGACCCGATGGGAGCTGGTACGGAAGCTGGGGGATATGCTTCACGTATGCGACAATGTTTTCTCTCGAGAGCTTGGCCAGTGCTGGAGAGTACTATAGCACGAGCAACAGTGCCAAGCAAGCTTGTGACTTTCTCATCTCGAAGCAACGTGAGGACGGCGGTTGGTCTGAGAGCTTTATGGTACGCATAACCAACCTTCATCTCCGGCTGGTTCTTAGTTGTTGACATATATGACAGGGCTGCGAGACAATGGAGTATTGTGAAGACCCAAGCGGATCCCTCGTGGTCCAGACAGCATGGGCCCTCATCGGCTTAGTCGAGGCCAAGTACCCTGATACCGAGGCTCTGGCAAGGGGAGCCAAGTTCCTGATGAGCCGGCAACAGAGCAATGGGGAGTGGCTTACTGAAGCTATTCCAGGCTCTTTCCACAATTTCGGTATCTTTTCGTATCCCAACTACAAGTTCACCTTTACCCTCAAGGCGCTGGGGTTGTTGGCGAGGAGATGTCCTGATTTGGAGATACCCCTTGCACAGGGTTGAACTTGTAGATGAGACTTTAAATTAATGAGATTTCTTATAAATTGTTGCTCCAAATCTAAAAGGTCAATCAATTTGACAACCGGTCCGTTGCGTAAAGTGCTTCATACCTCCCAGAGCGAGAGGTGCTTTCTTCCTCATCCACGTTGGCATCAGATCAAGGGGTGCTTCCTGGAGAGCATTCAGGAAATAGGGCATAACATCTGGTCTACCACAGCCAACTCTCTCCAATGCCGACTTGGCCCATACATCCGGCGTTGGAACCATAGCATCGGGGGGAAGGCAAGGATAACTCAATCAAACGAGTATACTGATACATAAAATGGCAAAACAGAAGACCACGCATTTGTCCAAGTTGTTGTAACCCTTCTTGTCTAATGTCTACCTGGCGGAACAAACTACCTTCTATAGAATATCTAATTAAGAACTTCTTTGGGGCCAAAGCTTGGCTTACCACCCAGTGATCCAAAGACATCCCCAATATAATTACCCGGAGTAAGGCCATCCTTAAACTTGGCGGTCCAGTTGTCCAGAATTCCCTCCACTACCTTCAAAGCCACAAGATATAGGTTTCGAGTGGAAGGCTCCAATCCACCGTTGTCCATGACAAAAGGAAGGGCATGTGGCTTATCCTCGTGGCCGCGATCAAAGTTGGAGGCGGATCTGATCAATGTGGCGCGAGAAAAGTCGACCTTGCCTTGGAGTGACGCCCTCATGAGACCTGCCAGGAGAGCGTTGTCTTCTTGAGCCGTCATTACATACTGGGCTTGGCCAGATGTGTAAACCTTGGTGACCTTTTCCATGGCATCCGAGAGACGGTGGCCATGCCAGAAGGTGTTTGATGAGAGGACATCGCCCTCAACAATGCCAGGCTTTTGGCTCGCCGCCTGAAAGATATCAGATGAGCCAACCCACAAGGCGCGATTCTTCGCAGCTTCTGGAGAGTCCTCGAGAGTAACAGTCCTAGCAACAGACAAAGCATATTCTCTAAGCTCGTCGTTCAACTCAAAGACTTCAGTGCCATAAAGAATTTTGGGGAACTCGTCAGACGAATCCGCACCGATGGGAACATAACCCGACCCCCATTCTGAAGGGATCTCTCTGGCGTCAAATTCCAGCTGGATATCTACCTGGACGGCAAATTTCGCGACTGCAACAGACCCAATGGTCGCGCGCTTCGGGTTAACGCCAGCAATGCCCGTGAGCACGAAATAAGTCTTGGTCAGGTTGAAGAGTGGCGAGTATATGAGCGCGCTGATGGACAAGCTAGCGTTTATCACTATGATGTCTTTATCAGCTTCAAATGTAGAGCAAGCACCAAATTTACTCACGACCCATGCCTACGACCAAGAGGCCGACTTGGCCATCCTCGGTAACATGGACATCCTTGTATTCAGGAGAGAGGCCAGGAACCTTCACCTTGCGCGGGAACTGGATAGCGCTCTCAGGCGACAGCCAGTTTCGCGACTCTTCATTAAACTACTGCATATTAGAGGTGCTTCAAGTCATGTTGGAAAATGTCGCTCACCATGGCAATGATAAAGACCTTGGGGGTTATCTTGGCATCGCCTTGATGCGCGAGGTCGTCGCCCGTTTGCTGCGAGGGCCAAATAGACTCTGAAAAACTCATCGCGGAAGGATTTGTGGCGTTTTGGAGAAGACTCAAAGGATATATCACTCTTTGGGATCGTGACATGCAAAATGAATGCACAAGTTGACCACAGTGGTCAAAAGCTCCATTTCATTCATGCGGGGTCAATATGGCGTGATCATGGTACGCAAGACCTTGGCACAGCATGGTTATCTCGTTATCTCCATCCATCTGCCCAGAAGACCTTTTTTCATATCATCACATGCAACCATCTCAACATGAAGTAGAGTTCAAAAACAATCATCGCTTGCCAGTACTGAGTAACACCCACATCACCAAAACAGCCAGTAAATCGCTCCAGCCACCACAGAACACGGCACGACAACAGACGCAAAGAAGATCATATCTCTCCTCCGGGCTTCATGTTTGAGTCTCATTTGCTCGTCATAGAACTGCTTCGCCGCCTTGCTGAGTTCCTCGATTCTGTCCTGATCAATCGCGTCGTATCTGCAACTTGCTCTCTCGAGCAAGGGCAAGATGTCTTTTTTTGGCGTTTCATCGGCAGCCGAAGACTTTGGTGAAGCTTCTGGTGACTGTGAGTTGTTGGGGTCGAGTTCTAACATTGAGACGTTGGTCTTGTTGAATAATCTCGCGAGTCGCAATCGGGCCATAAACATCCAAGTACGGGTATTCGAATATGAACAGGGCAATGGGAGGCAAAAATTATTCCAAGTCAGGTTCCAGGGAGGACGGTCTAGAAATATGATGGACCTGGCTGTGGCTGCCTAGGACTCACCGATTCAGCCAAGGCAGATTCAGTCAGACAGTCAGCTCAAGCCACAAAGTCAAGCCCAGTGCCTTTCCGAGTCTAGGAGCTTGATTTTCTCCCTTGGGATATTTCCAGAGTAATTGCTTGTCTTAACCTCCTTTCCCTACAGGCATCTCGTGTATGCAAGGGACACGCATGCAAAGGTTTGGTGCCAACGCCAACATCCATCTCAAGTAATTGCTTCTCAAGCCAAGAAGCTAATTCCGCCTATCGCATTGGAGCCTGCAGTTTGCTTCTGGAACCAAATTTCCCTGCAAGGTGTTTGGCTTGTCTCAAGGTTATTACCTATGTTAAAACAAACCCCTAATATCTCATTGACACATCAACGGCCCACTGCCTTATCTCTCGACCAAAAAGCGCGATATTTCGGCCTATCGTATCTGAAAGATTGGGGAATCGATCTTCGCAACCCCTCTCCATGTCCTGCAAAGGGCGCATTAGTAAGAAAATGTTAGTCAACCTCGGCATAGCAAGCTTATCACGCAGGATTTGATCACGTGTAGCGTTGAAAGCGGAGGAGTTTCGCGATGACTCAATGACTACATTCGCCAAGACGAGCGTGATTTTCTCAACTTCATCAGCAATAAAGATAATCTTTTCTCAAGTAACAAAACCTCTATCAATATCAAAATAATGGCCTCCGAAAACTCGAATAGCAGCGAGCTCCTCGCTAGCTCCTTGTTCAATGTCAATGGCCTGGTTGCGCTAGTTACAGGCGGAGGTTCAGGTTAGTAGAGGAACGTCTACACAGGGCCATCGATCTGATTTCTCTTAGGTATTGGACTCATGATCACCAAAGTTCTTGTTCAAAATGGTGCCAAGGTTTACATCGCAGGCCGAAGAAAGCACATGTTGGACGAGGTGGCCAACTCGCTTGGCCCAAATGTGATCCCAGTGCAATGCGATGTTACGTCCAAGTCGGCGCTTCAAGAAGCAGCCTCATTTATTGAGAAAGATACCGGATATCTCAACCTTTTGGTTTGCAACTCTGGCATTGGTGGCCCTCAGGTCAAGCAAGTTACAGCTGAAACCAGCTTGGAAGAATGGGCAAAGGGCAACTTTGACATTGACTATGACGCTTACGTTAACACCTTTGCTGTCAACACAGCCTCAGTGTGGTATACGACTATGGCCTTCCTTGGACTCCTCGGCAAGGGAAATGAAAAGAAAAATGTGGATCAGACGTCGCAGGTCATCATCACAAGCTCCATTGCCGGATACAACAAAAAGGCCCCTGGAGGTTGGGCATACGGCCAATCCAAGGCAGCAGCCATCCTGGCGGCCAAGCAGCTTGCGGTGACTCTCCCACAGTGGGGAATTCGGTAAGTTGTTCCGGTGAAGCTACTCAGGTAGTCGAGTGCTAAGCCACGCATAGGACAAATTGCATCGCTCCTGGATGTAAGTGCAAGCCATGCCCCTTGACAGGTAGGAGGGTCCAACTAAAGCTTGTTTGTTGCAGTATTCCCGAGCGAAATGTCAGAGCCAATCGTAAAGCTCTACTCCAGCGCTTCAGGAGAGCCAGGTGCCGTTCCGAGCGAGATGGTCCCACTGCAGAGGATGGGAGACGAGAAGGACATGGGAGGCACGCTCCTGTACCTTGCATCTCGTGCTGGGGCATACACCAACGGCGCCGTTATAGTGGTGGATGGTGGCCGTCTGGGCAATTTCCCTGCGGCCAATTGATGCCGTGCAACATCTCGATCGTCCAGAATAGGCAGCCAAACAAGAGAGGCGGATTACTTTGTCAATGTCTCAAAAGGTGTTGGACAGAATACGGTGGATACTCGCTAGACGACGACCACAGATCCCGACATATCCGTATGCTAGTTAGCTCGCACGTTTCAACAGAACCTTTGGCTTTATTTTTGCTCCGGCTGCAGATCCAATGGATAAGACGGCATCTCGCAACCTCGGATGGCCATCTCTCACAACGAGGCGCAGTCAATGCGGGCTAGGATCTAGACCTTCGAAACTGCCATTGAGCCGCGTCAGCTGGCCGTATGATTGCGATTTTACGCAATTAGCCGCTCTCGTATTGCTCCTACTGAAGCTTGCCCACGCCACAGGTGTTGGGCCGTGGTTCAAGACATGACCATCTTGGGGTCGTGTGGCTGACCACTCCAGGGGCTAGCTCGCTCTCCGGCAACGTCTTGCCGAAGGGTACGGGGTAGCCAACGAGAAACAAGCAATGCCATGGAATGATGTTTCTTCTCCCTTGACTTGGATTCATATTGAACTTGGAGTACAAAAAGGTGTCGTCTTCCTGCAGTTCTTTCTTCCAATTCAGCTCATCTCTACAACATTCGCTCTACTCTCTTTCAATCTTTCAATCTTTCAATTAATCTCAACACCTTCACCCAACTTTCATCATGAAGCTGAACTTCCTCCTCGCTGCGGCTCTTGCCATTGCCGCTCCCGCCATGGCTGCCGACTCTACGACTGAGACTCACACCGGTACTACCACTCACACCTCGACCAAGTCCGTATCCTATCTACGTCACAATTAAGAACAAAAGAACTAACCACAACTAGGACTGGCACTGCCGGCACCGCTACTGGCACCACCACCGAGACCAAGGCCGTCACCACCACCACTTCCACCGGCCCTGCTCCCACCCTCCGCGCCGACGTCATTGGCGCCGCCGGTGTTGTTGGCGTTGTCGCCATGCTCGCCCTCTAAGGGACTGGCTGTACCACCATCCTCTGTTTGCGATACTGTATCATCTTCATTTCATTGTATTGTTGGCTTGGAATCGATGGGTTACATATAGAGACGAGCGCTTATCTCACAACCATCTGGCTTACTTAATGTCATACCTTCAATGCATCACCAGACAATATTAATATTCCCCCAAAGACGAGTCCCAAATTTGAATGAATGAGTGAAAATGGCCCTGTAAGTGAGTGAAGAGTGTGTGGCGGGGCACCATCAGTGTGCAACCTGCATCAACCATCACTTCATGCTTCTTTTGAGTCAGAAAGTAAGCCAGAATGCACCTGCAAGGTCGTATTGGTCTCCCTACACATGCATGGTGAAATTAAGTATTGGCGTGTCTTTGCCCCAGCGTTGCCACTGATGTGGCTGGCTGAAGTGTCACTATCACAGAAGGGAGAGTGACAGCCCAACGACCCGTAGACTTTCCGCGCCAAGACAGTGAGACATATAATCTAACACCACAAGCAAGGGATAAACGACACTTTTCTTCAATTTCAGGGAGCAATTTAAGGGTAAGGAGAAACAGATCTGAGACAATCGTGCTTCTAGAGCCCCTTCTAGCCCGGTACGTGCTTAATTTGCACTGAGATGAATATGCGTTTCCCGCTGTATGAGAGTGTTGAATATTTATTTATACTTTAACCGTAAGCTTTCAGTAGCATATAGATATCCAGCCGATGATGCTCACACGGGGCTCTTGATAGCTCTAGTTGTGGATGAGGTAGGTATGGAACGGCAATCCCAGGCATTTAATAGTCGACTTTCTTGCAAATGATCCCCTTGTTAAAATCGTCTCATAGTCATCTATGATGTCCATCCCAAGCACTAAGACTGGAAGAGAAATGCCAGTAGCCTAGAAGTTGTTCGAAGTCTTTTGCTCCTTGTCCGGGGCGACGTCTCCCTAGTATCTACTCATGCTTCAATGAGCAAGCTAGAGAGGCATCTGTATAGCACAAGAGGGGTCATGGACTACAAGAGAGAGAATAGAATGGGCGAATCCACCTCTCACGGCGAAATATAATAAAAGCAGAGGTCCATTTCGGTTACGGCATTATGCGGTATTGTGTTTTGATACCGTCATATATTAATGACTCTGTTTTTTTTGCTGTTGTGGCTGATGGCTTCTTGTCATCATTACAGACAATATTAAAGCAGGGGTTCATTACGCGATAATTCTCTATCGCAATCAAGGACGCATGTTTATCGGCAAACCCAATCTCAATCGCCGGTACTATTCTTGCCTTGTGGGAGAATCATTCATTGGCAGTCCAACCTCAAGCATATTCTCCAGATAGTTTTCGTTCCCACTCCGTTTCGTAAGTGCAACGGGGCAAATAGTATCCCACAGCAATCGCAATTGCTCTCTCGCTCTAGTTTTTTTTCCCCTCTATTAATTAAAAAAAGAGAGAAGACATTGGATAGTCGGAAGAGAATTAATACGCAATAGCATGTGGTTGCGGCTCGATGCGATTTCCTTTTCACTAACCGGCCACAAGCTTCAGGAGCAGCAATAGGTTACGTAGGTACATGGACCTGTGCCTTCAACATCCTATTTTTAAGCTCATTGCAGTAAAAGCAGTTCTGAATGCGGAAGATCCCGAGATCCAAGTTTAAGGGGTAGTTAGGAGTCAGCCTTGGCATGTGATAGGAAGAGTCGTGGAACGATAGTCCCCTCTTTACTTCTCTACGCGACACTAAAAAGTGAGGCTGTGCGGGACACAACAGCGATCGACTATGCATCAGCCGTATCAGGGCAGTATCACAGCATACACTGCCTGACTGTCGACAGCTACAGGAAATATTACTGGATGGCTTTCCGCACCCGTGTTTCATGTTCTTTTCTCTTATCTGGACCAAGATAATTGGTGGGATGCTGCATGTGCTGCGTTTTAGAGTGAGGGGTTCCCAAGCTGCATCGCAATTGCGGCTGAAAATGGCACTTGGCTTCCGAGTGTTGGCGATTTGCATAGAATCTTGATTCACCAAAGTACAATTGACCCAATGCCAAGCTAGGACTTGCGGTCTTCTATCTTGATTTCCACGTTATTTTGATGGAAGACAACAGGGTAGCACGTCTCTCTGCTGTGCAAGTCAGATCATTCCGCTTAGTCACCCTCGCACTGTTGCCTGAATGCCTGGGGTGCCTCAGCTCCCGTCTCGGTTCACCTGCATCATTGAACGAATCACTACTCTCACAGGATCCGTCCCGCATCCCAATCACGATCTCTTCACGGTCGTCAAAACGCCTTGGCTGTGCGACTCGTTCTTCTGGTCATCCTATTGGGCCGCTGCCTGGCTGAGCTGATGTGAGATTCGGACGGCGCATACTGTGGACCCCTAGTGTGGTGCTCAGAGGCTGAGCCCAGCCCTGCTGCCTACGACTTGCAGGGGACGAGCACACCCGGTGACTCAGGTCGGCAGGCTAGAGGCATCGCGATGCAGTTGAGCACGGCACTATCGATGCGGAGGCTGATCTTATCGGCAGAGGCCTATTCCGAACCCATTGCCTACCTATAAAGAGTCGGAGCAGTCTCGAGAATGGACGTGAGCCATCAACAAATCTCCATTTGGAGTAACAACACATCCTACAGTTCATTCACCACAATCAGTCATGGCTCGCACCGCACAGAGAGGAAGAGGCGGTCGTGGCCGTGGACGTCGTTTCCCACCTATTCCACGACACTTCCCTCCTCCTCCTCCCCCTCCCCCACCACGTGCTGCAAAGCCTCCACGCCCTCCTCGGGATGGAGAACTTCAGTACATGGTTCTGAAGCAAGAAGCCGAGCGTCGCGAACGCATCCTCGCTGATCGACGCCGGGTCGCCTCCAAATGGCGCCCCAAGATCCCTCAGGTTCGCAAGGTCAACTTTGAGAACTTCAAGAACCGCTTTCAGGACGTCGATGAGCCTGACTATGCCATCGAAGTTCTAATGGGCGGTCCTACCACTCAGGCCCAGATCCGCCGCGAGCATGGTCAGCGCCGCCGTGAGGAGATTGCTCGTCTTCGACAGAGCTACCTGTCCCTCAAGAACAATGGCTCTGGCTCTTCCCAGAACAAGATCGACGCCTATGAGAAGGCCAGACGCGAGAAGAAGGGCGATGCGCTTCAATCATCTGAAAATGAGATTCAGCGCATCCGTATCCAGTCTCAGCCAGTCCTCGGTCACCTGACTGCCCTCATGAACGACACAGATCAGCGATCAACTCCCCGCACCTTCATGAGACCTTTCAAGGCCTTGGTGCACTTCCAGCCCAAGATGAAGGAGATTCTCGCCACCCTGGAGGAGAAGTGGGCAGACTTTGAGGAGCTCGACAGCGATCAGTCTGAGGCTGTTGAGCTTTCTGCTGGTGAGGAAGTTGACATTGAGCCCGAGCTGTTGGAGGCCGAAGACATGGGCTCTGCCAAGGGAGAGGAGGAGGGAGAAGGAGAAGATGGAGACGACCACTCTGACACTGAATCCCTCGAGTCTGTCGACTCCAACGCCGACGAAGACTTTGAGGGTCTCATGGATAGCCCCGAGGCCTTGAGAGACATGCGATGCTATGTCGAGTTCATTGACAACGAAGTCCTTCCTATGCATTCCCGCTTCGACGGCACCGGTGCTGAGAAGGTCAAATTTGATGACCTCTGGTCTCTGTTCCGCGTCGGCGACCTCATCTACATGCCCGCATCCGGTGAGACAGGTGGTCGCTACCACGAGGTCTGGCGTATCTACAAGACAAGAGCCCCTGATCCCGAGACATCTTATCCCACTACTGGATGGGACTTTTTCGAGGATGAACACCAGATCAACGAGAACTCCAAGTTTAAGATCTCGGCCTATTATATCGATCACGATGGCTCCAACCTTGGTGCTGTGCAGCGCAAGTTCGAGATTGAGTCCTTCGTGGGAGAGCGCTCCATCGAGTCGTTGGAGGTGTTCCCCATCCGATACCGTCACAACCACCAGCAGCTCCTTCAGTCACTCAAGCAGCAGGGCCGCAAGTTCATGGACTACCTCGAGGATCGTCACCAGCAGTACAGCGCCTGGACCCTGACCAGGAACCCACCCTCTGGCCAGACGGAGCCAGATGAGGAGATCCTGGATGATCAGGAGTACCAGAAGATGCGCCACCCCGAGTTCGTTGAGAGTGATCTCATTGTTGATCTCACAGAGGCGTACCAGAAGATGCCCGACTGGATGCCGAGATTCCATCAGCTGACTATGAACAAGTCAATCCGATGTGAGGTCAAGGATGACGAGATGCCGATCCAGCATTGGTTCAACGGATCTCGTTCAACCCTCGCGTATTCACAGTCTGAGATTATCCAGCATGCAGACGGAGTTGAGACCCGCCAGCGACGTGACAACCTCGCGGCCGACTCCTTCCTGCGCTACCGTATCAAGGGCAGCCGAACATTTGAGACGGATCCCAAGGCGCTGGAGCTTCGTGATGAAGACCTGGTTCTTCTTCCCAAGCGAATGTTCGCCTATGCCCTTCGAGAGCGTCGCTTCTGGCCCATTGACTTGAACTTCCTCAAGCCGGTCCGCCGAGAGCCCGGAGTCTTCGAGAACCTCCGAATCCAGAGCGACTACAAGGATGTCGTGCGCGGTCTGGTCATGTCTCATTTCCAGAAGAAGGCTCTGGAGCGCAAGTATGCAGACATTGCTACTGAGGGTCCCAGCCAGGATCTGATCCAGGGCAAGGGTCGTGGTCTTGTTGTTCTTCTGCACGGTGTTCCCGGTGTCGGAAAGACGGCCACGGCAGAAGCTGTCGCCATGGAGAACCGCAAGCCACTGTTCGTCATCACTTGTGGTGACCTTGGCCTGACGCCTCACGAGGTTGAGTCTTCGCTCAAGAACGTGTTCCGTCTCGCCCACCTCTGGGACTGTGTTCTCCTCCTCGATGAGGCGGATGTCTTCCTGTCGCAGCGTTCCAAGCTCGACATGAAGCGAAACGCTCTTGTCTCGGTGTTCCTCCGAGTCCTGGAATACTACAACGGTCTTTTGTTCCTCACCACCAACCGAGTCGGCACCATCGACGAGGCCTTCAAGTCTCGTATTCACCTGTCCCTGTACTATCCTCCTCTGGATAAGACTCAGACTCGCGAGATCTTCCGCCTGAACATGACCAAGCTCAAGGAGATCGAGTCGGAGCGCAGCAGGATGACAGGTGAACCCGCCCTCGTGATCAAGGAGAGCGACATCATCGACTTTGCCACCAAGCACTATGAGGAGCTTGCCAGATCTACCGGCTGCTGGAATGGTCGACAGATCCGAAGTGCCTTCCAGATCGCATCGAGCCTTGCCATCCATGACCACTCCAACCAGGCAGCGCTGGCTCGCTCTCGTGGCCAGCGGGCCCCTGTCGCGCCTGTTCTGGACAGAACTTGGTTCGAGAAGGTACAGATGTCGACTCAGAGCTTCGACCGCCACATGAAGAAGGAGTCGGGAGCTTATGATGCTGACATGTCTCTTCGAAATACCTTTTACGAGGGTCGATTCGAGTAAGAGAGCGTTGCATCATTCGGATAACTTGGAGTGCTGATTTGTTTGAAATGGCAATAATGACAGAAACTCAATGATGATTGCGAGCGTGGTTTGACTTGGGGTGTTTGGGAATAAACAATTACAAGACTGAATAAAAAATATATTCAATGGCGCATATCATCTAATCCCCAGCTCTGGGAACTGTGAAGTTGTGAAGTTGAGTTGCATCATGATGCAGACGCGCAGCTCAACGCATCACGGCTAGAGAAGACGGCGCAAAGCCAGTTTCGAGGAGAATGCCACGCTGGTATGGATCTACCGTGACAGTTTCCTCTCAAAGACCTTTAGCCTATGCATAAGAAGTTTGATCCTTTGCAATTGTTCCAGGGATTAAAATGAGCAGGGTCACTGTTAAAGCAATGCAGTGTGATTCGCAACCGCTGATCGCCTTCACGTTGCAATGCGGGGTGACAGCTCGTTGGCTGTGCCTTCTTGCTGACATCATGCCATCACGCATTGTGATGTTGACTTTCAGTGCGGGGAGAGCTTTAAAGGACCGACGTTACTCAGTAGCAAGTTATTGAACCGTCTTCAGACAAACGTTTGTCTTCTAACACGATGCGTTGGACACTCTTTGCCTGTTTTGTGAGGCTAGCGTCTCTACTCCTCCTCGCCGACACGGCCTCCGCCCAAACAAAGTACAAAGTACAAAAGCCTCCCCTCGACACAGACTGGACCTACAAGGTCGGAACGAACCCATGGCCAGAGCATCCACGACCTCAACTCCGCCGCGATGCATGGAAGAGCCTCAACGGCATCTGGACTTGGAAAGCCGCCAATGACGAGAAGGATGTCGAGAACCTTCCAAAAGCCGAAGCCTTGGAGCGCGAGGTACTGGTGCCGTCATGTATCGAGAGCGCTCTCTCTGGGCTTCAGATCTTGGATGTCCGGGATATGTGGTATGAGAGGACGTTTGAGGTTCCGGAAGAGTGGAAGGATCGAAAGGTGTTGCTCAACTTTGAGAGCGTCGACTACAAGGCCACCGTGTTTGTCAATGGAGTCAAGAAGACGACTCATATCGGAGGATACGACCGGTTTACTATCGACGTGACTGAAAATGTCAAGTTTGGTGCCTCGAATGAATTGTTGGTTTGAGAGAAAGTCCTAGTCTGAACGACGCTGACTCTAGCAGGCTCGTCTTTGTCCACGACCCAACAGACTCCGACATTATCCCCATTGGCAAACAGACTTTGAAACCTAGTCATATCTTCTACCGTTCATGCTCGGGTATCTGGCAACAAGTGTGGATCGAAGCCGTGCCTGAGGACCACATCACGCAACTTGACGTTGCTGCAGGCGCTGATAGCAAGGGTGAGTTACAGTTGCAAACTATCTCCAGCTAATATTTAACACGTTGATCTAGTTTCTGTGACTGTGCATACTTCACAGCAGGCCAAGGGATTTTTCCAGTTTGCCCTCACTGAGGCAGATGGGAGCACAAAGGCAACACACTCTGGAGTCACCAATCAAGAGTTCACCTTTACCGTCGAATCACCTAAACTATGGTGGCCCGACTCACCTGCTCTCTACAATCTCACCATCACCCTAGAAAGCGGTGACAAGGTCCACAGCTACACAGGCTTCCGCACCATCTCCAAGGGAAAGGTGAATGGTGTCACTCGGCCGCTTCTCAACGGCGAGTTTGTCTTTCAGTTCGGAACTCTTGACCAAGGGTTTTGGCCCGATGGTTTATACACGCCTCCCAATCGTGAGGCCATGATATCTGACCTGCAGCTTCTCAAGGAGTTTGGGTTCAACTCAATCCGTAAGCATGTAGGTAAACTCAACCGTCGCATTACGTCATATGGCTGATGGTGTTATATAGATCAAAGTCGAACCGGATCTGTTTTATCAGGCTTGTGATCAACTTGGCCTCATGGTTATCCAGGACATGCCCAGTCTTCCCGCTAGTGGCGACCGCAAGCCTGACTCGAAGCAGCAAGCCGAGTTCAGACGGCAGCTTGAGGTGGTTATTAACCAACACAAGAACTATCCTTCGATTGTCACTTGGGTAAGCATCCTTGTTTTAAGGCGGTTATCCTCAAGTGACTCATCTTTCTAGGTCATCTACAATGAAGGTTGGGGTCAACAAGCTGTCTCGCCGCCACCTGAACAAGACTTGACAAAGCTCGTCCGCCAGTTGGATAAGACGAGACTCATCAACTCTGTTAGTGGGTGGGATGATCACGGCTTTGGTGACTACCATGTAAGATCTGCAAAATTCCCATACTGGGCGATATTCTCTAACTATGTCTCAGGATAACCACAACTATGCTGAGCCTCAGTGTGGCACCCCCTTCTACTCACAACCGAAGACACCATACGACCCCGAACGAATTGGCATCGCCGGCGAGTACGGTGGCATTGGTCACAACGTCTCCCTTGAACAGTAAGCACACACTCATCCCTTGACTAGATCCGCCTCTAACCGCAGTCCTCAGCCTCTGGGATGTCAAAGAAGCCATCGCCACCATCAAAGAAACCTACGAGATCAATGAGAATCTCGAATCGTACAACTACCGCGCCAGCGTTCTTTTCCGTGACATTCGCGAGCAGACGCAGCGTTTCGCCTGCAGTGGTGCCATTTACACGCAGACCACAGACGTGGAGGGCGAGGTAAACGGTTTGGTTACGTATGATCGCCGGTTCCTACGGCCACAGCTTGAAAAGTGGCAGGATGATATACAGAGCGTGTATAAAGCTGCTGCTTCGAGGGGAGGTCTCAAGGTGGAAGGAAAGGGAAAGAGGGATGGTAGGTCGTTGCTGGACCTGTGATGAGGCTGAGCTTCGAAACAGTCAGAGGGCTTATTGATTCATTACAAGCTCTTGAACTATATTATTCCATGATCCATCTCTAGCCTCTTTCCTGTCAGTATTGGTTTGCTATTTAAAAAGGATTTAATCCCTGCTTCGGCATGAGAATAATCCGTACTATTCCAATGTCCTGCATGTTGATCAGCACTGCCACGCAGTCTACGTCATCACGACTACTCTCACCTAATGACATTGTCAAAGCTACAAGTTCTATCTCCTCTTATTCATTTGTTTCACATCAAGACTAGCGTCTATACATCATGTCCAGGCCTACACAACCATCAACAGACTCCATCAAGGATAAGCCAAGCGAGCCGGCCCCTAAACGTAGGTCTAGTCATCCAAACACCTTTTGGCCACTGGTTCTAACTTGACCAGGCACCGAGCTTTCCAAAGCACCCATTGATGATGACGACTGGCAGATTGTTACCGAAGAAGACGGCAAACCACCTCGGTTCTGCGGGACGCTTGTCACATCACAGGGCGATTTCAGTTTTGGCCGGGGAAAATCGAAACGTACATTGTTTGCCTACCACATAGGGTACGCTGATGGGCATACGCACTGGTCAGATGACGAGGAGGAGGCGGGTGAGGAAAAGCAAGAGAAGAGAAGAGACATCTCAGGAAAGGATGACCATGTTGCTGACAAAACGCAGAGAGGTCCAGAGAAGGTAGAGTAGAGTTTGTACTGAGTTGCTCCTATGCTTGAACCGCATTGGAGAGTCACAAGCGTCAAAGCCATATTATCAAGACGAGAAAGCGAATACCGTGACATCAAAGGCCAGTTTCCAGCGAATTGAATAATGTTAAAGGCACAATGCCTTGATTCAAACAAAAACTATAATGTCTGGCCATACACCAACCTAAACGCAATGTCCTACCAAGTCTAGTATTGTTCCGTAGAACCTCTAGTGATGCCAGCCGAAACTCTCCAACGCCTAACAATGAGTTGTAGTCTATAACAAAAGTAAACGTGCAATGCAAGGTCAAGGTTCTTGATCCGAGTATGCTCCAAAACGCCAGCGCTTGCTATTCTCTTCTACCCACCACCTGCTGATAAATGCTCCCTCTTCCACCCAGTGTGCAACTTCAGTGCCGTGTTTTCTCTCGACACTACCCAGGAAGGAGATAAAGTCAAAGCCCTGCACAGAGTCATGCTCGGCAGGGTCGGCTGTAAGGTTGCTGAGTCGCCACTCGACGTTGTCGATGATTGGTACCACGAAATGTCTCTCGGGATAACGCGCATCACGAGCAGTTATCACAGCTCTTCCAGGGTTGACAACCGTGAATTGCCAGTTTCCCTGGCCTGTTTCATTGTTGAACTTTTGCATCGGTCGAATGAGGGATTGTCCTTCATAATTGCGCATCAAATCAGTCGCTGCTTTGCGGCTCGCCTTGTTCAATGAGCCCGTCTCCACGAGCAAATCCAAGATGGTCGGAACAATCTGCGACGAATGCACCGCATCGTGAACGTCAAAGGCGGGAAGCAAAGGATGAGAGAAGACGAGAGGAACATGGTCGATGCCGACATTGGGGTTGTAATAAGGTGAAACGACATCGTTTTCAGGCATCGAAAGGCCATGATCTCCAACAAAGACAATTAGAGTCTCATTAGCCACGCCCTGCTCATCCAAGAGGTCCAGAACCTTGCGCAGCCATTTGTCGTCGTAACCCTCTGAGTTGACATAATGAGACAGCATATCGAGACCGTTTGCGACCGGTACATATTGTTCGTGCTCAGGCATCTTGAAGGCGTGGTGGCTCGTACTAGTCAGATGCGTAAGAAAGACTCTCTCGTCATTCTCCTTGGCCGAAACAAAGACATCGCGGAAATAATCTTCTAACGGATCCTCCTCGAAAGCAAAGGCATTGATGTTGGGCAATGTGACGGGTCCGTGTGTGGCATTTGGCGATCGCAGATATTCTCGACTGATGATGTGCTCCTCTGGAAATCCGAGGCCAGAGACAAGCTCGTATTGCTTGTCGTAGAGCATGGTGGCGGCCTGGTAATAGTACGATTGCCATTTTGAAGCATTATATGGATGCGCACCCTCCTCTTCCGAATCTCCCAGCTGATTCAAGGCTTCAAAAACCTGCGCCAAACAAGGCTGATACACATGGTGCCGATAGTCGAGGTTGAAGTCGGCCATCAAGGGCGCGACACCACAAAGCGTACCAACCAAACTCTTGAGCGTGTATGTGCCCGTTGTATGCGCATTGGTGAAGTGAACACCTCCTCTCTTGACCTTGGACGCCTCGTCTCGCTCGAAACCATCGTCGTAGTCACCAGTGATGTAGTTGGCGGTTGGTGTCAGTGTCGCAAGCCGATCCATCGCCTCCTTCGGGAGCTTCTTGTCGGGGAAAGAATCGACCAGGCGATCGTATAGAACGGTGTCCTTCTTTATGGGAAAGACATCATTCCTCGTGCTCTCGAGAAAGAAGAGAAGCACATGCTTCACGGGGACATCTTGTAACTTGTCGCGCAGCTCAGCTAGCACATCATGGTTGAGGTTCGAAACCTTCAACGGGTCGGCGTCTGCGCTGTAGTGTTCTCTCCCTAGATACCAGTCCTCGAAACCCGCCAACTTGTTGTCCTTGGGTAGCCAATCCAAAGGCATTGGGTCGGCAAGGGCTGTTCGATGATCCCAAGTTCGCTGAATGCCGGTACCGAATAACGAAGGGAGCTGTTCAAGCATCGGCGACGAAGCTGAGAAGTCGACAAATGGTAGCAGGGCGGTCGTCCACGAAAGGAAGATGAGCGATCGGTCGTGTGGTCGCGCAAAAGCCGAGAAGACAAGTGCGAGGAGGGCGATCGTGACGAGGATGTACGTAGAGATGTTGAGGAGGGACTTGAGCTTCGATGGTGCGACGTCAAGTCCCAATCTCTCGATCAGTCGCTGGGCAAGTCGAAGAGGTGCGGATGGTGTCTGTCGCTGCGCATCATCGTCAAAGATGCTGCTAGAAGAACTCTCGTCATCGTACACGAACTTCGCGGGGTCTTCGATATCGAGCTGGGGAATCTGGGAGTAGGCGGATTGGGGACGAATCCGGCGGAATAGTCGCAATGTCGTCGCAAAGGGCCAGTTGGAGACCTCGGCAGCGTAGCCCCAGAAGCTGTAGCAAATGTCTTGTAGCAGCCAACTGGAGAAGAGAGTAAGAGAGAGGACGGCCGTGAATGACAAGCTTCCTGACAGGATCAGAGCTCGCGACGAAGGATCGGTGGGGAGAGAAACGTTTCGCAGGTGGATTTCGGAGCCTGCGACGAGGTAAAAAGAGACTGCGATAATGCCAAGAGCGGCGTTGTAAAGGATGATGATGCTGGTCAAGAAGTATATCACCAGCCGCGACACAAACGCCAAGCCGACCACCCAGCGATCAAGGAGGAGCCGTATCAAGACAATGATGGCGACATCTTGGGCAAAGAAAGAGTAGCCCCATTGTCGCAGTTGATGTGCTGGCACGGCAGAGAGATGAGCATGTATGTGAGTGATCTTGGCGTTCCAAACGGCGAGAACGGCAAACGTGAAGAAGAATCTCCGGTTCGCGAAGCGCAACAAGAGGGCGAGGGCAACCCGTAGAGGCGCCTCAAAGGAGACTGCCGATATCCGGAGCATGATGTAATAAAAGATTTACAGAGAAAGGGAGCACAAAGGAAAAGATGGGAGCGAGAGAGTTGGCCGCGCGCAGCCGTTGATCCCTTGAGTGGCTCTTCCCTGAGACACCAGGTGCTGTTGGGCCGGCGGTGGGGAGTGACCTTGAGGAGTGGGCAAACGGCGAGGGAAAAGCACGTCTCTCAGGCTCGCAATCCAGTGCGGAGCATATTGTTGGTCTCGGAAAAAGAACCAAGGGATGCAGGCTGTCGGCGAAAGACGCAGGGTTGAAGTGAACGTGAACTGTTCGGCACTGGTGAATTATACAAGGAATTTTGCGGTACCGGCGACGGCAAGGCTAAAACTGTGCCTGTCTCAAGTGTCTCTACTAATGAGAGATACCTCGTTAGCCTCGACGGCGAGTACTGGGTTCACTCGACAGGTATAATGTCAGGTAGGGCCGATGGTCAAACGACACCTGTTCGCCGTGACGATCTGTACCTACATGCCTCTCTTGGTGCCAGGTCCCAAGCGCCCTTTACGGCACACCCACTCACGCACACGCACAAGCACATATTCTGGGGCCGCTTGGGCATTGGTTTCACAGGCCAAACTCGAGATTCTCACCTTCGCAGCATGTCACCCTACGACATGATTCGTCTTGCCCCAGTGTTCATTGACAGAGCCCCCAGCCGGCGCTAATGAGCTTGGTCTAGGCTCCGTCCCGAACCCATGGTCGCCCCGATCAGCAAAGCTTGGCGAGGGATGCTCTGGTCTCGATGGGTCCAGGCTGTTTTCCCTCTGCTATTTGCCGGTAGGGCGACCCAATCATGTTGAAGGTATAGCAAGCAGGCGATGACAAGAATGGCTGTATCCGTCGAGAGGCGGAGTGGGAATGCAAAAGGTGGCATTTCGAGACTCAGCTTTGCTCAGCCGCCTGCACAAAGATGCAGCCACAGAAGGAGGCCAGAACGAGTTTGTCGATCAGCCCTGTCACGTGCTTAGCGGCTAACTCGGGTCGCCAGGAACAGCAAAGACATGCAGCCCCTGGACATGGCGGCCGCGGACAATGGGGCTCAGTGACCAACAACGTCGTAATAAATGGGAAAGGGGAATTAAAAACGGAGCTTCTTGCATCACTCACAGTGTCCAAAGTTCCAAATCATGCGCAAATGATCCCCTGATCATCTTCTGCTGAAAAGTCGAATGTGCACCTGAAAATGAGTGGCTTGCGTGGTGATCAAGCCACAGGAGACTCAGCCCGCACCAAGCGGCAATGGTTGGCTTCCCCAGAAATGCAGTGCTCCGCCCAGGTTATGAGAGCGGCTTCACGTCGCCAAAGCAGCGCCGGGGATTGGCAAAAGTCTTCTTGGCATTGACAGCCGTGCTTGGCACACAAGCGACCGTCGCAGCGTCGGTACTTGCATCTGGTCTAGCGAGGAGCGAAAGAGTTGACGCCAAAAGCCGTGGAGATCTCGGTACTCGAGGGGGGGTCTAGCACCGGCAAAGAAGGCACTGGCAGACGAGCCAGCAACAAGGGAGTATCGCGCGATTAACAGGCAATCTCAATTGAAGCAGACATCGCAATGTATGCCCTCATCAGGGTAGCTAATGAGAACTCGAGTCAGCACTGAGACACCCCTGAGGCCTTCACACAGGGGCTGACGGGCTGTTAAGCCACGTCCGACCCTTACTTCCACGGTGTGTCGAAGATTATGCAGAGTGACCCTCAAGGAAATCGATATTGCTTTTATTAAACTGTGGCAGAACTCGCTTCAGCACCAAAGCATTCTCGGGTGTTCTTTTTCGTTGTACACAGCCCCAAAGCTGGAGCCTGGTGTCAAAGCAACCAGCAGCCGATGCTGGCGATCACGCGAGCAAACGCCCGCCAAGGCAGAATTCGCGGGGCTCTGGGTCGTATTCGAGGGGCCAATGGAACGAGCTGAACGAAAACCTCTTGATGTATCCGTATGTCCCTGCCGTCTCACCGGCGCATTGATAAGCACAAGCAAGCAAGTTGATCTGGTGAATAAGGTCACAACGGATCCAACATGTCTCCGCGTTAATTACCCTACCAGCTCTCTCCAGATGAAGGATCAGGATGAGCTTATCGATAGCCGGTAATCAGGCTTCTTATCTTATCATACCCTTAGCCAGCAGAGACCAGCACTCTCTGTAGGGTAGCTCTGATCAGGGCACATCAATGCTCAAGCAAGTCAGAGTTAACAGAGACACCCAGCAATTATCATGTGTACACTGCAGTGGCCCATTAACTCTCTAGTACTGCGTATCATTCAAACGGCATAATGCTCGAGACTTAATTCGTGAAATTTGAATTATTAGTTGCTAGAGACATGGTATTGTTGACTTGTCATGGCCAAGTTGCTCCGTGCTTCGCTGACCTGTTATCTTATCAAGGGTTATCTTATCAGATTCAAGCTTTGTCAGCATTGTTTCTCGCGACTCAAGCCCAGCAACACCAAGCGATTCGAGATGCTCTGTGTGAAGAGAAGGAAGGATCTCATGCTGTCTTCTAGTCGCCGGAGTTAGGCAGAAACTACCAGAATTACAATAAATCAGCACTGCTGCTTCAACTGTATCACACTGAGCCAGCACAATACCTCAATTGCCCCCCTGTCAGGAAGCTGATGCGCGTCAGCTGCCAAGTGCGTCGCGTTCTGCCTGGCCCCTCTTCTGCGAAATCCGAGCTGGCCAATGATGGCAACACACGCTTCGTCAGAGGTGTTGCCTTCACCTCTTGGTCTCTTCTCATCAACCTCGACAAGACAAGTTCCTGAATCCTTTCTAGTCCACCGATATCAACTGTTCACTTGGCCTGGCTTGCGTTGACATCAGCGGCTAGGGCCTGCCTCGACCAGGCAGCATTATGTCGTCCATGGATAGCTACGATGACCCTGTTGCGGTCGACAGCGACGTTGATGTCGAGATGATTGATCGTGATGATATCAGCAACTACAACCCTGAGCAGATACTCCCAGAGTCCCCGGAAAACATACAAAAGATCCGTTCCTGGCTGGATCCGACCTCGTACGGCAATGTTGGCGGCGAGTTTCGCAAGCATCAAGCTGCACACGTAGCTGGCACAGGTGTCTGGCTCACTTCGAGCAGCGCATATAAGGAATGGCTACAAGGCGAAGAGCATGGGCTGCTTTGGATCAAGGGCATTCCAGGATCCGGAAAGTCGGTAATGGCGGCCAATCTTGTCAACGAGATAGCCGCTTCCAACCCCGGATGTCCAGTTCTGTTCTTCTTCTTCCGCCAAATCATCGATGCCAACCATGAGCCCAAAGCTCTACTGAGGGATTGGTTGGAACAGGTGTTGGACTACAGTCCTCCCCTTCAGAAGAAAATAAAGACTTACTTGCGCCGGACCATTGAATCGATTTCAATGGAGGACATGTGGAAAGATCTCAAGATGGCGTTGGAAAATCTTCCTGGAAAGGCTTTTTGCATCGCTGATGCACTTGATGAGATGGATCAAGGAAACAACGACTTTCTTTCCGCCCTGGGAGACCTCGGATCGTGGCGACCAAAGACAATTAAGGTGCTGATCACCAGCCGCCCAGTGCCAACTGTCGAAGATCCTCTCAGGCTGACTCCATGTCTTCATCTTCGGCTAGAGGAGAAGATGGTCGACGCAGACATATCGAAATATGTCCAGTACACGCTGTCCAACTCTGTTATCCCCCAAAGCGAATGGGAGGTCATCATGAATGCCGTCCCTGGTCGTGCCAACGGCTTGTTTCTCTACGCTAAGCTGGCGATGGATGCATTTCTGGAACAGGGTGCTGATATCACCGAAGTGATTTCACGGCTTCCCGAAGACTTGAACGTCCTGTACACGGACTTGCTGAAAGAGCATGCCCGTAGATCTGGTATAGCCGAGGAAATCCAGCACTTGATATTGCAAGTAGTTACTCACGCTAGCCGACCTCTGCGATTACTCGAGCTTGCTGAATTGATCAGGGTCATAAGCCCTGATGGCTCTACACGAGATCTGAAAACAACAAAGAGCCTAATCCGAGCTGCCTGTGGGCCACTCTTGGAGATCTTGGCGGATGAGACAGTCTCAGTGATTCACCATTCCTTCACTGAATACCTCAAGGGCACGACGAGGTCTGAAGACTACCTTGGATACCCCATTCTACGCAGGGGCCCAACCCATGCCGCACTTGCTGCAAGTTGTTTACAATACCTGCAGGCTGGCTGCCTGGAGTCGGTCTCCCTGGATCAACCCCAACGGTACTCACGCTGGCAACACGAGGAATCAGATCAACCTGTGGGCCTAGAATCGAGGCTGAAGCATCCGTTCTTTGAGTACGCCATCAACAACTGGGCCCATCATGCCAATAGATCTGAGGCTGCTGGACATGACCAAACCACGCTCAACGTGGAGATTAGCAAGTTGCTGAGTGATGACGACAGCCGGAGACGATGGCTTCGGATGGAAGCACCTGGCTACGAGTCCTTGACACCGCTCCATGTTGCGGCCAAGGAAGGGCTGGTCTCATATGCAAAGGAATTGCTCAAAACCTCCGAGGTAGACACACTCAGCCGATATGGCCAAACACCGCTGTAAGTGCTCTTTACAGTGCTTCAAGAGTAAAAATTCCCAGCAGAAACAATAAGCTAACACATGTCATCTACCAGTTGGATGGCAGCTGCAAACGGGCATGCAGATATCATTCGTGTCTTGGCTGCTGCTGGGGCAGACCTCTATCCCCAAAGACCTGATGAGGGGGAGAAGCCACTTGTCGAAGCAGCATCAAAAAACCACTTTGAGGCCGTGAGGGCATTTCTGGAGGCGGGAGGTGACCCCATTCCACGGACGGAACCACCGGACGACGACTACTCGGGCTTTTGGTACACTCCTACTCAAGACACAGCACTTGAGTGTGCTTGTAACAACGGGCATCTGGAGACAGTCGAAGTGTTTCTTTCGTTTATCGAAGAGATCGACACTGTTCATCGTGCTTTGGCTTGGGCTGCAGAGGGCGGCAGATGGAAAGTGGTTGCCAGAATTCTCCAAGTTCCTGGGGTTGATGTTAACAACACGCTCGAGGGCAACACACCGATGTTCCACGCTTGTTCATGGCCTCAGGATCTCAAGACTATCAGAGTTCTTCTAGAGGCGGGAGCAGACCCAAACGCCAAGTGCAAAGGAACTGGAGCTGACTATACTGAGTCGACGTTGAACGCACCGACGCCTACGTTCAACTGCTTACATAAAATTTGCCGCTGGGCAACCAATTTGGATGATTACACGGCACAAGGTGATCCTGAGGTTTTGCCGACCCTTTTCTCGCTCCTGGTTGAAGCGGGTATTGACGTTCATCAACTTACGGCAACGGGGAAGACTTTACTTCATCGCACAGCTAAATCGGCTCTCATGACCCGGTTACTTCTTGATGCTGGAGTTGATGCCAACATTGCCGATAACAATGGTTGTACGCCACTACATGTTGTGGAAAACCCGGATGTCATGAGACTTCTCGTCGAAAATGGCCACGCCAATATCGAGGCTAGAACGAGATCTGGACAAACCCCTCTTCTGTACATGCTAGACAGGTCTCATAGTTCAAGCATCTTTTATGAATTCGGTGATGCCGGCAAAAATACTCCAACCCTCGACCAACTTCTGGAATACAAACCCGACTGCAAGACTGTTGACCACAAGGGTAACGGCGCGTTGCACCTTGCACTACAGCAACAGCGGTTCAACCGTGACAGGATCAGGGCTCTTCTGGCAGCAGGCGCTGACCCAAACCTCCAGAATCGGGAAGGCTTGGCTCCTTTAGCTTACCTGGACGACTTCAAGTCAGGCGTCTCAGAGCTGTTCGATCTTCTCGTTGACGCCGGCGCTGACATCGACGCCGTTGACCGAAACGGGGCGACTCACCTATTTCGCCTGTTTTCAGATGATGATAGGATGAGCACAGAGCGGTTTGATCAGACAATCCAACATCTTGTTGATCGAGGCGCTTCTATTTTCGCCAGTGATCGAAAGGGCCGAACGCTGCTCCATCAAGTCATTAAACATCATGATGTCGAGGATTGCGAACAGTCAGAGAGTGATATGTTGACACGCCTCGACTCCTTGATCAGCCGTGGCCTTAATCTCAAGGCTGTTGACAATTACGGAAACGGTCTTCTTCATGAGCTTGCTCTGCGTGAGGAAAATTCGGATACTGAGTGGCGTACGAGAATGATGTTTTTGTGGGAACAACTCATCGAACGAGGCCTGGACGTGGTGGCCAAGAACCATGCTGGACGTACGCCGCTGCACATCCTGTGTGCCCCTGGTGCCGATCGCAAGAATGATGACTTTGACCCACGGAGCTTCATGCCCATTGACTATGTGATCTCGCGGATGAAGAAAGTCGACTGCGCAGACCTCGATGGCATTACCCCCTTACACATTGCAGCGACAGGCGACGAGTTCTCCGCCAACAGACTTCTGGATGCCGGTGCTGACCCCAAGTTGGCTACTTATGAAGGCATGACTCCTCTTCACATTGCGGCACGCTGCAGAGAGAGCAACATGGTCGGTCGTCTGCTCGACGCGCTTCGAAAAAGATACGGCACGACCAACCCTGTGACAGGTGTCAACACCCAAACGTTTGACAGAGAAGAGATCACACCGCTCTTCTACGCTTGCCAGTCGGGGAGACCAGAAACAGTGGCCCTTTTGCTTGAGGCTGGTGCCGATGTCAAAATTGGAAAGCCCTTTGAAGGCTGCATTGGCTTTGAGAGTGAGGATCAACTGTGGAAGGACCCTCACCCGTCGACAGATGCCCCTGAGAATGGAAAAGGTGTCTCGGCTGTGAAAATCCAGGATACATCTCGTCGAGTGCCAAATATCCATGGATTAAACGGGTTGACTGAACAAAGCGCGACTAGGCTTGAGGAGATTCTTGACATGCTCATCACCCATGGCGCCGAGGTCTATCGAATCGATGGCTTTGATGATGGCAGCTTCTCCATCGGGCAAGCTATCCGAAGGGAGGAACATTATCTTGCTGAGTGCCTGAAGGAGGTGCTGATCAAGCATGGAAAGCTAAAGGAGCCTCATCATGAACACTACCTTTCAGACTGGACCAAGGTCTTGCGACCAGTGACAAATGAAGCCTCAATCGGCATCATGAAGGACCTGAGGGTTCTAGAAGCAGGCCAAAGCAATTTCGAGCTCGTGTCTTTCCTCCTGGCTCGAAGAAAGTACTTTCTCGTGGAAAAGCTTGCTCATATGGGAGCTGTGTTCCTCCCGAATCGCGACAAGGACTGGGGCTTAAGATCTAACCTGTCGACTCTCATCCGCTACGGATTTTCCCGCCTCGTCGACAAGATTGGCACTTTCGAGGCAGAATCGAAGTTGGAAAAGGGAGATTGGCATGCATTTGGAGACAAGACACGGCCTGGTCTTTGGAATGCAGGGGGAGGCTTCTTTGCATCTGAGAAAAATCATGACTCCTTGGAACCCTTCATCATGGAGGCTGTCCGAAGACACCTCCCTAACATGGACGTGGTTCGGTTGTTGGTTGAACAGTTTGGAGTCGATGTTAATGAAATGTCGTACCCTCCCGTCTCGGCAAGGGATGTTGAAAAGTCCTCGGCCCTCCATCTTGTCGCCTTTGGCCGAGCATGGTGGCATGTTCACCAAGTTTTACCATACTTGCTCAAAGCAGGTGCTGATATCAACATTCGCAACTCGAACGGGCAGACTCCGCTCCTCATATCTCTCGGAGGAATTGACTCCCGCTACCTCTATGGGCCATACTGCATGGATGCGACCAAGGTGCTGATTGAAGCTGGCGCGGATGTCAACGCATCCGATGATAAGGGAACCAGCTGCCTCGCCCTAGCCCACCAGGATATAGACCTAATCAGGCTCCTCAAGTCTCACGGCGCAACTGTAACAGCGGATGTTCTGTTTGCTGCTATCCTGGATGGAAACCTTGAAGGCCTGGAGGAGTTCCTTTCAGGGAAAGTTGATGCAAACATGCGCCGGCCCAAGAAGCCAGATGAGAAACAAGAACGACTAAGTCAGAATCATCATGCTAGCTGGACATCAATAGTAACGGAGGAGCATGAAGTGTACCCTCTCATGCGTTGCCCAAGGGAGTTGGGCAACAAGTGGATTGGGCAGCATGGCCTCGCAGGTCAACAAAGAGCCGATGAGGCGTTTCGGATGATGCAACATCTACTGGATCATGGAGCAAACCCACTTGCAGGGTTCCGGCAAGTGGAAAAGAGCTCCGAAGGCTCTGATGTCAAGTACTATGTCGAAGTGACGGTCCTGCATCACATTCTGCGAAATGGATTGCTGGTTGGACCGATGCTCAGTGTTCCGGGCTTGGATGTCAACTGCCGAGACAGCAAAGGTCGTACTCTACTCCATGCGGCGTGCGAGGGTCGTGAGGGGGCCGACTACGGCGTGGTATCCCGCCAGGAGGATCAATATCGAACCGACGACGCAACCATCTTCAAGAAGCTCCTTTCCCTTGGTGCCGATATCGAAGCCCGGGATGACTTTGGTCGGAACGTCCTACATCACATGATCCACGATCACGATGAACCGAAAAGGTTTGACCAGTTCCGAGATTCGCTTGCCTATGTTCTAGAAAAAGCCTCAAATCTCATGGACCAGGCAGATGGCGACGGTTGGACGCCGCTGTACTATGCAATCCGCCAGGGAGGTCGCAGAAAGGATGTTCGTGCAGCGAGGGCTCTATTGTCAGCAGGAGCCGATCCTTCGGTGGTTGCAGCAAACGGCGAGAACCTTCTTCACGTCCTTGCTCCGTATCTTGAGGTTGATGAGATGCTCGACTTGTTTGAGGAGTTGGTGGGAAGGGGTTTGGATGTGAACAAGCGAAACAACATGGGAGACACACCCTTGTTTGCATTCTACGGCCGTGCGGATAGCAAAGAGTTGTTCTTTCAAGACAAAAGAAGAAGGTATTCTCAGAGTGACGATGGGATGAGGTCTCCTCAGTCGCCCGCCTACTCACCTCCCTACTCCCCCGCCTCACCTGCACCGCTCGCATCGCCTGCCTCCCCTAGGTCGCCTCGGTCGCCCTCGTCACCGGCGTACTCCCCCATCTTGGAGAGGAAACCGCAACAATTCGGGATGACTAGAGAAAGAAAAGCAGTCCAAATGCTGAGGAGGGTGGGTGCCGACTTCTTTGCTAGGGACGCCAAGGGTCGAGGACTTCTGCACGTTGTCGCGAGCAGAAGCGTTAGAACCTTTAGCGACTTGATGGAACTGGGCCTGGATACGATGCTGGAGGATGATGCCCAGCAGACCCCTCTTGACGTAGCGGCTGCTTTTGAGAATGAGAGTGTGCTGCAGCTGTTTGAGAAGGATAAGAAGGACGGTGTGAGGGAGGCCAAGATTGCTCGTTCTCCGTTACCGGTGCCGGCCTATCCTGAGTATGACGAGATGTAGCCGGTTGTGGATGAATGGCCACGATGAAATGAAATGAACTTGGATAATAGTAGGAACATGCTTGAGATTTCGTATATAACTTGCTCTAGATGTACTTGAAATGATGACGATGCTTTTCTAGACATTACTCAGGCATACAAGGTTGACTCTGCTGCCTTGAGGCAAGGGGTGGTTGACAAAAGCTTCTGATATGAAGCTCTCTCTTGACCCCCTGCCATTTTCTCACTGCTGGAGCATCTCTAAGAGTGGTTTCCAGTTGCCAATCCCCAGAAGTAAGCAGCCCACGCACCAAGAACAAGCACAATGACGGCTCCAAAGTTGATGAGACCAAGCTTGCGGTGCCACTCAGCACGCTCAGAGGACTCGTATTCCTCCTTCTTTGTGTTGATGATGTGTCCGTTGTTGACTCTCTTCTTGCGGCTCCATTGCAGGAAGCCGATGGTGTCGGTCATGTAGCCAATGGTCATCATGATGGCAGCAACAATCACTGAACCAGCTGCAAGAGTGACGTACAGCACAGTGACGTTCTTGTAGCTGTCGTTGTCACGGTCCTGGATGGCACCAGCGATGACACCGACGATAATGGTCATGCTGTTGTTGATGGCGATCTTGATGGCGTACCCGGATCCGAAGACTTCTTGATACCACATGCTGGTACGGATGCTGTCGATGATGACGGTAGGCCCGAATGAAGAAGCAATGGCATAGATGCCAAAGCTGGCTGCTGTTCCACCGACTGTTGGGCCCCAAGCTGCGAGGCACATCGAGAGCAGCATTCCTAGGCCGCATATGAGCATGACGGTAAGACGCTGTCCAAGAAAGTCGATGAATATGCCCACAAGTGGTACGAAGAAGAAGCCCAGATACTGCGACATGGCCGAGTACCATCCTGCTTGCACAGCCGAGATCTTGAAGCGTTGTTCTGCGAGTTCGGTACCGTTGGAAGAGAAAATGCTGGCTGTCGAAGTCTGGAACAGGGAGAATAGGCAGACGAGCCAGAAACTCCAGGGAAGACGAAGCATCTTGCCAATCTCAAACTGTTTGTTGTTCTCAGTAAGCTTCTCTCCAGTAGCCGGGTCGCGAGTTCCAGCGTAGCGCTTCTCGCACCAGCGGGTGAACCACCAGAAGAAGAGGGTGGCGACGTTGGTGAAGAGGTTCATAAAGACAGCCATCCAGTATGCCCAGCTAAAGTCGCCCAGGTTCTTGGAAATGACGTTTGCTGTGGCCTTTCCGACGAAGGAACCGATCTTGCCGATGCCGAGTTCGAACGCGAGAGTAGAGGCGAAACCGGATGATGGTGGGAACCAGGAGGAGAAGATCTTGTACTGGGCGACTTGTGTTGCTACATCGCCAAAGGCTTGGACGATGACGCCGCCGATCATGAACTTGTAGCTTCGGACTGTGGTGGCTGCTGCGACGAGGATGGCGCCGACGCTGAAGATGGCGTTGCCCCAGAGCATGGTGCTTGCACCTCCATAGCGGTCTGTGAGAACGCCGGCGATCAAGATCAGAGCAGTCTTGATGAAGTTCTCACTTGTGTCAAGAACAGCATACTGCGTGTTGGTAATGTGCAGTTTCTGGAGAGTCAATTAGCCATGGTTCAGTTTTCAGGTAAACATACAACTTACCTTCTTCAAGGTACTCTTCAGAGCTCCTGTAACTCCACTGCTCCAGTGACCTCCGAAGCCAATCATACTGACGACGACGACCGACAGGATCTTCATGCTCATAGGAACAGGCTTCTTGCCATTGTGCTCCGAGTCGCTGTCATCTCGGTCGACAGCAGAGGCATTGGCCGAGACATGCTCGGGGTCCTTGATTTCCTTTGAGACATCCATGCTGCGATATGAGCGAGGATCAATGTCAAAGAATGCAAGTAAAGAAAAGATTGATGCGCTGAAGAAAGGAATTATCTGATTAAAGTCGGCGATGGCGCCCTTTATCAGATCAAGAATTTGTGGGCCACGAAGAACAAGGTTCGTTTCGTGAACCATGACTAGCAAAAAAGGTCACTAGCCGATACCCTCCAGCTGGATAAAGACGCGTCAGTCCCACCCTGTACGGGGGGAGCGGCCCTGGAAGGGCGCCTGAGTCGATGGTCTCCCACGCTTTAAACGCTCGGATCGTGGGGCATGGAACGTGGGTTTTTCGATGTCTCCGGAGAGAGAATGCGTCGTTGTTCTATTGTAATTTAGTAGGAATAACTCGTATCATGTTTTCTTTGAATTGATCAAGTATCATAGACCAAATACACTACCTTTCACCGAGAATATGAGCCCCAGATCACCATGATTGAACAGATCAGATAAGACAACCGACATCTCCAAGATCCATCAAACTCACTAGAAGGGTTAGCTCGTCCGGTCGGCGTGATATCGGAGCCGTCAGGAGCATCAAATTTCTCACCGTGAGAGGATCAGCCCCACAGGCAGGGGTAAATGCACCATTTCCTTTCACCGTGAGAGAAATAAAGATTTCGGATCTGGCCCTTCGAGATTATCTTGCCCCATAGTTTGTCAAGAGTTGCCACCAAAAGACCATGTGCTTATGCAGCACCGTCCGCCACTTGGCGGCAGAATTCGACCCGGATGAGGCCATGGGCCTTGTCTCTGACCTAAATAAGCACCTAGCGGCTGTCCGATCCATCCTCTCCAAGTCGAAGCCGCTCGCTCGGGAGGTCCGATATCAGGTGGTGCCCAATAATCACCGCACAATGAAGATTCTTTCGGTACAGTCCGTTGATGTTGGGGGAGTGGATCAGCTTTACAACAGGTTCAAGGATCATGTGCAAGACTTCTGGGGCTGTTCCGAGAAAAACCTCCACCAAGAGCTGCGTCGACGACTTGCTTGCGTGGCCATCTTCCTCAGGTCCAAGCTGGACTCTGATGCATGGGTCTCGGCTGGAGTATCCGGCATTGTTCAAGGCCAGAAACCTTCGGAACTTCGTTACGCAGGTAACAAGTATATCAAAATTGCACGAAAGTTGGGAGGTATCGGATCTATCCTCTGGCTTCCACTCGAGGTGCCCTCCTCAACGTGAGTTACCTATTCCTCTACCTGCACCATCGAGTGCTTACCCGGTCTAGATGGGAGAGATATCTCAACATTGATGATGAAGAAGTATTTGACCACTTGCGGTCCATGGGGTCAAATATTCCCAACTATGACAGCTTTGTGCAGCGCTTGATCGCAAGTCAACTTGACGGTTAGCAGTATCCCTCTCTGTTCCCGGCGGTTGACTAATGAACCGCAGATTCTTCTATTCAACTCTCACCTTACAATCTTGCTCTATCCTACGACGACTGCTTCCCAACCTCTGATCAAGTCGTCTTGATCCTTTGCGCCTTTGGAGGTTCAGCAGTTCCCGTTGAACTACTGAAGAGCGTACGAGTTCCCCGTAGATATTGGACCGACGACGGCGAAATCGACAGTACAGATGCCGTTGACTTTGATCTTCCTCGAGGGCTGGTAAATGTCTTATCGGAAGATAAGTTCCTTGATCAAGCCAGCCAACGCCCCGAGATTGCTCAACAAATGTTGGAAGATGGCAAGACGCTCGCTTGGTCCATCCGCCCTGAAGCAATGGCATCTATTACCAGTCGCCTGTCTCCCCAGACCCAGGAGGATCTGGCCACTACAGCCTTGAAGCTCATCTGCTTTGCATGCCCTCTTGTCTATGAGGGAAAGGTCAACTGGTAAGTGCATGACTATGATATCAGGCTACCTGCTAACGTCCCCCAGGCCTCCTCACATGAAAAAAGCGATTTGGGCTCTGCTGGACAATGCAACGAACCAGAAGCGAGTACCAACATCCCTCAAGACGCACGTCATAGACGCTCTCATGTTCTTCACTGAGAGGGACTTCTTCGCGATCCGTCGGATTGCCATTGAACGAGCCAAGTCGATGCTGCGCAAGTCAATGCCATATTATTACCACGCCTCGATTGCTCTCTTTGATAGCATCATGCTTCGCCTTGATGGAAACCTGGAGAGGTCAGATGCTAGGATAATCGACTTCCTTGCTGAAGATTACAATACTAGTACCCGCTGCGACAATGCTCTCCAAGGGAGGCTTCACATCTCTCACCTTGAAAACAAGATCCATCGTTACGACAACGACGTTGCTTCTTTCATGTATAAGTGGGAGGGCATCCATCCGCTCTCGACGTTTGAGATTGAGGTTACTCGTAGGCTTCAGGGCACAGCGGCGAGATACTTCCATTCTATAGGGGACTTTCAGACGGCTAAGGCGTCTCTAGAGCAACACCTATGGCTCAACTCTACACAACCTATCCGCCTCAATACAAGACTTCTCATTGTTACCAGACTTGGAGAGATCCACTGCGAATTGGGAGAGTTCGAAAAGACTCTTGCTGTGCTTCAGCCAGAGCTTGCGGGCCTCACTGAAAAGAAGGGCCGTCCGTTTCGACGGCTGTCAATGGCAATGATAGAAGCTTATCTAGGACTTGGTATGCTGGATACTGCAGAGTCTATTATCAAGCAGTTGGCCGATGTTGAGCCACCTGAGCTGGACGACATCAACGACCAGATGCTACATATGCGTCGACTCATTCTAGTCTCCCGCACCGCCCACGAGCAATTGCGGTTTGACGAGGCTTTGCGACTGTGGAAGTTTACCTTACAAAGAATGGAGAGTCTAGTGACCTTCAAAACCAGACATGGTTGGGTTCTGGCCGTCATCTACCTCTCCATGGCTCACGTTCAACTGTGCCTGGGCGATGGAGAAGGGGCTAGACAGTCGTGGGATGTTGCTGTGCAAATATCCATGAACGAAAGATACGAGTACGCTATTCCAATACTTGCAACTTCGTGGCTGCAAAAGATTGTTGGGGCTATTCATCAGGAGCGAGGGTGGCCGTTCCGGGTGATGCTTCCGGGAGGGAAGCCAGATATGACATGGCAGTAGTCATCAGCGGCTTGCGCACAATACGCTAGAGAAGAAGAGACACTGAAACTAGTGAAATGAGGCAATGATAGTATGCTTTGAGATGAAGGAGGTTCTGGACATTATGGTAACAACTTCGGTAGACATGTCTAGTAGTACATGAGAAATAACGAAAACATCCGGCATTGGTATCTTATTGCTCGCGTGAATCCAATACAACCCTGAATCCATCCTCACTTGTTCTTTGACTTTTTTGAGCTCAGTTTCCATGTTGAGGGTTTGCTCCAGCGCAGGCCGGACTTCTTGCCAGAGGAACCGTCTGCTTCCTCAGAAGGATCATTGGCCTGGGGATTCGCGTCAAGTTCAGCAGGTCGAACCTGAGGCGCTGGAGGGGGCGTGGCAGTTTTCCCAGAAGAGTTTGTTTGTGCTGGCACCACCAAACTCTGGGGTACAACCTCCTCGTTTACAGGCAGTTCAACTACAGGTCTCAGCTTTTCATCGCCGGCCTTGAGGTAGCCGTCCGAGTCTGTCAGAGATCGCACAGGAAGTTGAACTTCATCTCCAGGCAACTCGCAGATGGGCGGTGGTGCCCCAGACAGCTCTGAGGGTGCACTGTGGCTGTGTGCCAGCGCGATGCTCGAGGAGCTTCTCAGAGACGCGTTCTTCGGGACGTTGTCAAAGCGGTTGCTGTAGATAATCTCCTCGATGGAACCCCGCAGCTTGTTGAACCTGAAACCAACTGATACCTTCTTGAGAGGGATGAGTTGGTTGATCTCGTCGTGGACCTGCTGCTGAAGTCGCTTCTCCTTGCCGGAGAATGAGGTGATGGTTGTCTTGGAGTAATACTTTGCAGCATCTTCGATCTGCTTGATGGAAACATACTTGCCATCGTAACGGAACGATCGTTCGAGAATCAGGATCATGTCGCAAGAACACTTGAGAAGCATTCGTGCCGTGGGTGGAAGACCCAGGAGACAACCAGCAGCACCGACGATAATGCCTATTCCCACTGTAGGCACCGCAACACCCACAGCAACAGCACTAACACTGGCAAACTGCGTCAGAGACACCTTGAGGAAATCCCTCATATTTCCCATGACCACGTCCGACATGATCTTTTCAACCTCTGCAGGTGTCGTCTTGGGGAAGCCAAAGCACTGTAGCACATGCTCGCAGATAAGCCGTGACACGGTGGGTGTTCCTATCATGCCGGTGAAGGGGAGGGGAACGGCTGCGGTGCGGACGGCGTGGGTTCCAAGTCTCATACATTCTGTAATCGCCGAGTTGATCTTCTGTTCAACATCAACTACTTGAGCGGCAACACAGAAGAGACGTACGCGTTCGTCGGCGATGAGTCCGATAGTTTGGGAAAGGAGATCCTTGATACCTGCATCGTCATCTGGGAGGCGTTAGAAACTGAGAGCTGCCGGGGGTTGAAGAGGGGGATACCTTTGGAAAGACAGCAGAAGCCATCCGCCTTGTAATGCTCGATCTGCGAGAGCTGGTTCCGAAGCTCGGCGAACTGAGCCTCAGCTATCGCGCTGGCCTTTTCCTCGGCTTGCCTCTTGGCCTCTTTGTAGTTTCCTGTTTCTTCCATGATCTCTTCCAGAAGCTGCATCTTGCGGTATCCCATGAGCTTATCTTTCTTTGTCCCAACAACGAACACAGGGACTTGGTGCGAGTATTGAGCAATAGTCGCAAATGTTCTCTTGTCTGCTTCTTCGATGCGAGCCACGTCTGAATCAACACAGAACCTAAAACAACTGTGAGATGTGTGAATCTGATGGAGTGAAGACGACTTACCAAATAACGTGGAGAGCCTCGGCGGGATCCTCCTGAAACGCTCTATGTCTAAGGAACTTTGCAATCAAGTCAAGCTCGGTATCACTACCAGCTTGCCAGCCCCTCGAGTCGTGGATGAGCAACCCTGGATGTTTTGGTGACTCGAACGCCACATTAATGTCGTGAACACCCTGCTGATATGATAGAGACTCGTCTGTCATCTCAACACCAAACACCTTGTTGATGAGTGTCGACTTTCCGACACCTGTTTTGCCACAGACCAAGATCCGGAACGCCTTGACACCACTAGCTTGGAGTTGCATGTCTCGAAGCCAAGGGGCAAGTGACTCGGGGTCCTCGACCAGGTATGTGTCTTGAAAGTTGGTGATTTGAGCCTTGAGTACTTTGAGATTAGGGAGCTCAAGGTATCGGGGGTAGCGGTCAAGAACGCAGAAGAGAGATGGATGGATCATTGTGCCATGCGGACCTGCCAGAAATTAGAGAGAGTAGTGAATAGATGACATTAACCTTACCATTGTCACTCCATCCGAGGAGCTTTCCATCTGTTCCAAAGATTTTACGCGTAGGACTATGCTTGTATCGATCCGATTCAAGCTTCAAGCTGTGAACATCCACCCCAGTGGCTGACCGCTTGCCATGAGAACTCTGAATGTCAAACATGCTGAGTCGAATGCCATTTGCGAACTGCAGTCGCCACTGGATGTCTTCGGAACCATCTAGTGTTGGCAAGTTGCCAGCGAACTGAGGAAACACGAGTGACATTGGGTTGTCAGCGGCTGTTGAGCTCTCCATAGAGAGTAAACTTAGTCCAGCGTACAAGCTCTCTAGGATGATCCACTGGAGCGGATAGAGGGAGAGGCCATCGTGGGCTGTGCCTCCGATCAAGTCATCGTGCGTGCCCAAGAACCAAGCCTGGATGAATGATCGGGTGGCCATCTCTGCCTCTTCTGGAGCACTGAAAACCTGGAGCGCCCTGCTGGTGCGGGTCTCGTTTATGGCGAGGGCGTGTCGCAGAGTCTCAATGGAGGAACCAAACGAGATGTCGTATGCGCTGCCCTTTGGCGGTGTGCGAATGACCGTGTCGAAGAGACCGACGAAGCGTATCCGAGGGGGCTCCTCAGCGTGAATCTTGATCTTTTGGATGAGTTGGGGGCCGTTCTTGAAGTCATCCTCCAGCTGGGCCTTGATGAGTGCGAGTGCTGCGTCATAGAGGTCGTCGAATACCCCGGACGACGCTGTCTTGGCCAAACCAAGGCGTTGGACGATGCCAGCAACTGCCCGAGCAACAAAGGCGCCATGGCCTGATCCGTACAGCCAGAGCTCATCTTCAGGACGTTCGAGAGTTGACGAGATGTCCTTGACAATGGTCTTGATGACCTCAGGAGTGGTATCCGCATTGGATGTCTTGGATTTCCATCTGTCGCTCAACTTGGGAGTACTAGCAGTAGCGGTGTAGTACTTTGGGATTTGGGTCATCTCAACTCCTCCAACGTGGCAAACACCCTCCCTCACCAGAGTCTTGATCCTCTGGATGCTCGAGGGGTTCGTGTCCTCTAGCGAAAAGTTAGTACTGAACGGTGTAAAGACCAGAAGATGAAGCTATTCACTCTTGCCATCCTGCGGCTCACAGCCGTCCACCAGGACGATTAGACGCCTTAGTCTCCCGTTACCCGACATTTTGGGTGTGCAACCTCTGGTCGGTGGAAGGTTGAGCAGACGATACAGTTTTAATTAAGCGCCCAAGCGAGCTTATTAAACGACGTCAGACCATGGAGCGGGGAATGCAGCATGGTAGGTCTATTGGCTCTGCCAAGGGTAAGCGTCATTTCAGGGCTGACCGTAAGCAAGGCTGAAACACAGCCTAGTGGCTTTGCAGAGAATCGAGGCGATCCCTGTTCCTTGGCCACTTGGATAGGGAAAATGTGTGACAATGCAGTTCAGCTTTCACTAGTATGCCTTGTGGCATGCACTTGGCACCAATAGAGTCCCTCTGGATGGTTTTATTGTAAGAAATACTGACTACCTAATGCACCTCCTTTTGCCCCCAACTCTTGGCCCCCAATGGTTCAGCTCAGAGAGCCTACCATGATCATCAGATTATGTCGTGCTCAGCAACCGAGCCCAATTGGTAAGCGCCTACAGGCACTTGTCGGCCTCGCGGGCAATGATGTCCTTGATCTCGCCCTCCTTCTTGACAATAGTGACGCACTGAGACTTGCCCTTAGCATCGGGGATGATGGTGACCTTGAGGCGGCCGTCCTCCTCAGTGGAGTATTTGAAGCTGAAGCTGTCGTCGTTGCTCTCCTGGTTGACGTTGGTGTTGGTGTTGGTGTTAGTGTTGCCCTTGGTATCGCCCTTGGTGTCACCCTTGGTAGTAGTGGTGGTGGCGGTGATTTTGCCGTTGTTACCAAGGGTGGCACGTCCACCGCAGGTAGGTCGTCGACCACCAAAGAAGCTGTCGATGGTGCAGATCGCGCCGTCAAAGGCCATGCCAAAGAGACTGGCAGCGCTGCCGATACCGGTTCCGAAGATGTTGCCGGCAGCATCGAGGCCGGTCTTGACGGCATCAAAGATGCCAGCCTCCTCACGAGGGGCCTATGAAGTTGTCAATGTTGGTTGTTACTAGGCTGTAGAGGGAGCTTACAACGGGGACGGCCATGACAGTGTTGGCAGCAAAGGCCAGGATGGTGACAGCGGCGGTGACCTTCATCTTGATGGTTTGGAGGGGTTGTTTGGAAGTGTTGAAAGGTTGTGAGGGTCAGTGATTGTTGAGATGATTGCTGTGCTGATGCTGATGAAGAAGGATAGCCCTGGTAGGCGAGAAGGTCGATATTTATACAACGATCTTGGCCCTTTCGTTCGCAGACTACTACATAGTAGAGGCATAGAAACCATCTATCCTATCCATCTCTACACGGCTTGGCATTCCTATCCAACTAGACTGCATCTCAAGTCGGACCGAGTCCTCTGCCGACAAAGCATAGTCCCACTCTCAACCTTTTTGCGACAAGGTTTCAGTTAGGATAGGACCCTTAGACCCTTGGACCCCGAATGAGAAGCAGCAAGTTAGATTTTCTACTAAATAAAAACCGTTTTGATACATTCGGAGGAACTCCTCCCTCGATAAGATGCCAGGCGGATGTCTTCGTGATCACCAATCGATCAAGGCCTCGTTTTCTGTGTTCGGAATGACCAGAATAGGAGAACGGAATTTTTTCCATTTCTTCACCTCTATACCATCAAATATATCTCTAATTACGAACAAATAAGGTTGAGCGGGTTCTTCACCGCTTCCAAATAAAGAAACCCGCTCAACACGGCCCAGGAGCCAGTGTGCGTGCCGTCTGCCGTAGATATTTCACATTCCTCAACACTCGGACCGACTCCAGCCGATCACCCTTCTTAACTATTATTTTAATTAGAAAACATCCCTAGGTCCGTTCCATAGTCTCAAGATGGTAAGGATTGGAAGTGCCCTATCTGAAATTAAGGCTAGTAATAGGGCCGGTGCCGACGGATGAAAACATCCGGTGCTTGCCATGATTACTGGGTCGGTGCTCTTCAATCTAAACCAACCTCCAACCGCGGAATAGGATGTGTACGTTCTCGCGGGAGGACGGGACAAAGTAAAATTATCCATGCCTTCTCTTCCCGCCAAAGGATGCGGAACCCGGCCCGTCTCTTCGGATATCCGCTGTGCCGGACATGAAGAGCCAGCCATCGTGTCTCACGATAGGAACGGCCAGGGATGGTTTTGACCTCACTTGGAGCAGTAAACCACCTTACCCTAAACTTTCGATGGGAATTGGGCCTATTGCTCGTGTCCTTCTGCCATTTACAGAAAGGTAATAGGGATAGAAACTAGAATCTTAGATGTACACAAGGCATACGCGTGTAACATGAATGTTGATAGAACACCGTCTGTGAAGTGAAAACATACTGTCCGCAGTGTCCTACATATTACTTGTCGGCTTATAGTTCTCACTGGCAGTTCCAGCCTCCAAAGGCCTGATAACGGAGCAACCCGTAGCTGTCATATGGCTCAATAGCTTGATAGATACTACGAAACCGCTTCCGAGTTGCTGCCCACCAAACATTCAAGATGGAGAAATCTCCAAAATCTTCTGGAAATAGTCATAAAGACTCATGCATGACCCTGCAGTTTACGGCTTCCCGGAAAACAATGAGATCAGCTCTCCTAGCGCACACGGACTTAGCCGTTCAGAAGCAAGTAGTTAACATGTACGGTTTTTTAACCCTTAATTTAACCGCTTTGTCCTGTAAAACACATCTGTAGGCCCAACTGTCTGAAGAGAACGCGAGCGGCTTTCGGCATTAAACTCGGAACCGCTCCTACGGGGTTTTATGTGCCTTCGCTGCGGTCGTTTCTGCGCGGCTAATTAATATTTTTAGAACTAGTGATGCTTGCCAAACAACTTCAGTTCAAGTAAACAAATCGCATCTAACATGGATGGGATAGAAGAGAATCTATCTTCTGGCTCAGTTATCTCATCCCATCAAAGGTCGGACTTTAGCTATATGAGAGGGAAAAAACACGATATCAACACACCATGGCATCATATCCCGATGCTAACACAGTGGGGGCAACGAATATCAAGGACCCAAGAGATGATCTGACCAAATTGGCGACTTCCCCTGTTGGAACGGTCTCGCAGTGCACTATCTCTGCCAATGTTCGTGATTAGACCAGGAGAAAATGAGACACAAATGGACCCTGGTAAGAGAAAGCATTGTCCCAGGGTAAGCTGCCAGGCCCAAAGATAGGGCTACAGAGTGTCATGCTATGCTTATGGAGTACCTACAGGGAGATTCGCGAGGAGGACGCAGTCCTGTCGGGTTCTTTGCAGCCAACCTGAATGTCTGAGCTGGATAATTCGGCCTTGACATAGGACGGCAACAAAAAGGGGGCTTGAAATCATGAGTCTATAACAGGTACTATCAACAACGGCACATTTACCTCGGTCCTTGGAGCTCGGATAGCCTACGTACTCGGATCTCCAGCAGCAGGACGAGTAAACGGCCAAGTGTTCAACTCTCCCCTCACTCAGGTGTATCATCGGCATCATCAGACCCCCAGTTACAAAATCCTTCAGCGGTTTCGGCGTACGTCTTCGCCTCAACATCGTCGGGGCAACTTCTAAAGCAACTGCAAAAGACAACAGGGTTATTACTGAGCTCGCGTTGGGGGCGCCAAACTTACTTCTTGGCCTCTGTATATACCGCGCAGAGGCAGGGGATATCGTCGTTACACTTTTCAGGCTAGAGCAGCATGAGCCATGAGTCACAGTGTCAACGCGTGTGTGATACATACATCAATGTTCTCGAGACAACTGGCGACAGCTTCCTTGCTCTTGCATTCCGAGGAGGGTGGGTCTTGGGCAGACACCCAAGCAGCGGCGAGGAGGACAAGAATAAGAGACTTCATTGTGAATAATTGAAGTGAGTGGTATTGGCCTTGATGGTGAAAGATATTTTGGATGCAAGGATACTTGGGGAAAAAGATGATAGGAAAACCAATTGATATATGCCTGGGCTGGTATGATGAAGACGCCGGTTTAGGCATGAGTAGCACAGATAGAGTTTCAATTTCTCGCCGCTTGTGCCTGACATGATATTCAGTTACGGTATAGTTCAAGGCCGTGAAGGCGTTCCTGGCCTTGTATCCTTTAGCCATCATTCCGAAACGCGATCCGTGCCTGAAGAGGCTGATGATGAGACTCACAGCACCTTGCACAACCACCCACATGAATTTAAAAATGGTAAGTAGACGAAAAGTTCAAATTTAAGATTAAATTGTGTGTATGATGGATGTTAGCCCATCTAAGGTGTCGAGCCCAGGCAGGAAGACGGGTAGGGCCATGAGCACCACTGTAAACCTCATGCCGGTCAAGCGGCCTGAGAAATAGGTATATTGACAAACGAGACTTGGATTTAAAGAAGCAAGATAAAAATTTCAACTTTCCCTCTCGCCGTCAGTCTTTCTATCACTACAACGAGCATTCAGTTGAGGAGTTTACCCATCTTCAGCGCTCCATTTATCGGCAACGAGGATGAGCATTCTTTGACAGTAGGAAGATGTATCCTGAACATCGCTTCCTTATAATGTAATTTTATGATGAAGCAACGGCAATTGCTATCCGTGTCTATGTTCTGTTTAATCTATTAGTAGTAAGTTGATGCTGTTCAGCTGAATCATATCCTTGCGCCCGCGTCATGGTTCCAGCGTCATCAGAGTCCTTCTCAAGTGCCATTTGGAAAGCCGGTCATCATCCATTCGGGCGAATGGTTTAGTGGTATAATACTCCCTTAGCATGTTTCTTCCAAAGGACTTGTCTAGTATGGGAGTGGTCCAGGGTTCGATTCCCTGTTCGTCCATTGTTGGTGGTTTAATTCCACTGTTATCCACATTTTTTGGCATTTGTGGCAGCTGAGCTACCCTACACTGTTAGATGTTCTTTTTTGCACGTCAAAGGGATTGTGTAGCCCAGTGTCTAAACTCGCTCTGAACGACTTCTTGTATCGCTAAGAATTGACCTTTTGAGCGATGTGTTTGGCCCCCTTTTTTGCAGGAAAGTTGTTTGTTCAGCTCGTTGTTCTGCCTTACCTTGTTCTTCATGTGGCTACTGTGATGGATCATTTTTTAGGCACGATCGCCTCCCTCACATGACGTGTCTTCTAGATCCTCGGCCCCTTGCTCCCGGCCTAAAACGCGTCAAACACGTGAATATCATGCATTTATTCTTCCTCTGCCAAGCTTCTCCTGTTACAGCGCCTCGCGGTTAATCAATTGACGCGCTTGACTTGCTCACAAGCGAAGAACAATGGGATCGGGCGTTACCCAATAGGGAAATAAAAGACCCGCTTTCAGCATGACAGACCCGTAAAAGGGACAGCTGTTCTCATTCGTCCAGGAGCGCCCCTGCACAGCCAGTCTCGACCTCCCTCACAATCAATCACAACACATCCATCAGCCTCACTCACCAAGACCCGTCGATTGGCCTCCACATCCTCTCAGGCTTTTATTCCTATGGCCTTGTATCTCTCCATGGCTGCATAACCTATCTATCGTCACCATGCGTCGCGCCCTCAACCTGCGCCTCGCCCTCCAGGCCACCGCCATAAAGGTCTCGGCCAACCTGGTCGTCCAGCTCATCAAGCACTACAGCACCCCTGGCCAGTCCACCTTTGACTCGCAGCAAGTCCTTGAGTTTGCCATCTATGGTTTCATCGGCTCTCAGATCGGCAACATCATTCAGTTCGTCCTCGAGGACTGGTTCCCTACTGGCAGCTCACAGCCCAGCGGCGAGGTGCTGCCCAGCATCCAAGGCGACGTACAGCAGCTGGAAGAGAAGAAGGACGATGATACCGTGGTTCGTGAAAAGAAGCGATCGTGTCTCAACCTCAGCCCTGATATAATATGGCGTAATATCCTGGCCAAGCTGGTACTCGACCAAACCATTGGCCTCGCCATCAGCGGCTCCGTCTTTCTCATCTGTACAAACATCGCCCGTGTACCGCACCCAAACCTAGTTTTCCTCGTCATCCGCGATAGGCTATGGCCTCTTGTCAAAGCGGGATGGCACATCTGGCCACTGGTGGCCGTCTGCAACTTCCTCTGGGTTCCAGTACGATCGAGAGTGCTGGTAGCTGTGTGTGTGGGATTTGGATGGAGCATATTCTTGAGCATCTTTGCTATGAGGAAGTGAGGAGAATTTTGCGTTGTTCCAGTTGGAGTTCCGGGGTTTGACGGGGTGATGCAAGCGACGCGAGTGCATGGCATCAACAGCAATTATCTGCATTTTTCTTTGTATTGGAGTTGTATGGATTAGACAAGCAACAAGTTCTTTTGTCTCTTTAATAACGACGGTGGCTGGCTATTATTGAGGTTGTATCTGAGTCACGGAGTTGCTTATCTGTAGCTGGCTGAGATATGTAGCTATCTAAGGGCGACCAGAGGTGGAATCACAACAAGCGTTTATGAAAGAGGACGTTCAAGCAGACACTGAGGGCTGAAACCCGAAAAGTCCATGAATGCGTACCAGTGTCATTCATGGTATGCTGCTTAGATGGCAAGAAAGAGTGCCTCTCAGGTGAAAGGCCTGTTTCTTCCAACACAACAAAGTCACGACCAACCAAGAACAACGCCCTTTGACTTGTCCTTCACTAGCTCTCCACTATAAGGCGCTCTCTTTACACCGTGTGGCGTCCATGTCATCGTGGGGGGCTCGACCTGGGTGGGGTTGATGTTGAAGTCGCCCCAAACTTCCTATTTGGGAACTTTGGGTTGACGCTCTTATTGTCCATATCTGCCAACCAAGAACTACAAAAGAGGGAGTATTCTCAGTTTCGAGCATTTCTAAAGCTCTCACTATACCTAAGAGCAATCCTACCTTGAACCCCATCCCCGCTTGTTGAATACAGTCCCCCAAACCCATCCAGCCATGATGTCCTACACCAGCGACTGGTATCAGCCAGCCGAGACTACACCTCACAAATGCACACTCATGGCTTATCCCAACAATACTTGTGTCACTGGTGGAGACCTACTGCTGGCGGCCCAGAAGGAAGTTGTGTCCATCGCCAACGCCATTGCCGAGTTTGAACCTGTCACCCTCTTTGCCAGCCCAGACACCCTCGACGAAGCCAAGGCTCTGGCAGGCAAGGGTGTCTCTGTCGTGCGCGAGCCCAAGACGAGTCACCTGTGGCTTCGGGATTTTGGTCCCATATTTGTCAAGTCGCGGGACGAAAAGACTGTCCGTGGTGTGAACTTCAACTTCAACTACTGGGGCGGCAAACGCGGACCATCCGGAGATGAGGCTATAGCGCCTATTGCGGCTCAGCAGATGACGGGCGCTGAGCCCTTGACTGTGAAGCTCGTTGCCGAGGGTGGTGGAATGGATATTGATGGGGAGGGTACTTTCATGGCGGCTGAGAGTGCGGTGCTCAACGAGAACCGTAACCCCGGCCGAAGCAGGGAACAGGTCGAGGCCGAGCTTAAGCGTGTTCTCGGTGTCAAGAAGTTTCTTTGGCTCTCAGGAGAGACCGATAAGGACACTACGGACTGCCACGTCGATGCTCTTGCTCGATTCGTTGGCTCGGGCAAGGTTGTCCTCAGCAAACCTTCACCAACAAACCCTGGACGATACGTCGAGGCGTACAACGACGCCAAGGCGAAGCTCACTGGTGCTACCGATGCCAAGGGTAGACCCATCGAGCTCATTGACTGCGTGGAGCCGGACTTGGGGAAGCTCGAGAACGTGGTCGAGGGGGACATCATCGCCTCGTACGTCAACTTTCTTCCCGTCAACGGGGGTCTGATCATTCCCAAGTTTGGCCATGATGAGAGAGATGCGGAGGCCTTGGAGCTGTTTCAGAAGCTATATCCGGACCGTAAGGTGGTACAGGTGTATATCAACGCTCTTCCCATTATTGGTGGTGGCATCCATTGTGCGACACAACAGGTGCCTGCGGTGAACTAGGATCAAGGTGTCGCGTCGTGTATGCACTCTGAAAACTGAATAAATGGGCCAGTTTGCGCCATTACTTAGCATAATTTGAGCAAATTGGCTTCTAGTGAGATCCTCCGACAATACGATGACTCGCATTTGTGATGGAAATCACTACATTGACCGGAATGATGATCAATCTCCGTGAAGAGTGCCTCGACCCACGCCGGGACGCGGACTTGTATATTCGTGAAAGTGACTACGCTAAATACAAAAACTCCAACTGACCTAGAAGTAAAAGACCAGCTCCCTGCTGTGACGGTAAGGCCAAACATGCTGAGTAGTAGTGGTACAAGTTGTCGACCCCTTTCAGTATGGTAGAAACTCGCTAATCTTGGGCAATGACATATCAGCCAACTCGTCATCATGGCCATCATCCACAGCCCAGTGATCCTCCAGGATGTCGAGGGCCTTTTGCGTGTTGAGGAGTCCAAGACACTTGGAAACACCATGTAATAGATGCTGCACCCTCTCCCGATGAGGTCCGAGGGCGTCGCACCCCGCAAAAAACAGGGGAGGTGTGAGTAGAGTTACGGGCGTGAGGCCATCCCGAAGTGTCATCCGCTCAGCGCCCTCGAGGATGCGACGGACTAGGTCTTGGATTGTAGATGAAGACCTGGGTAAGCGACGAAGACGTCGTTGAATGAGGAGTAGGGCCGTTAGCTGCCACACCTGATTCGATAACCGATACTCGTTCACCTCATGCGGTGAGAAGACGCGACCTCGTATGGAAAGAACTGGAGGTGGATTGGCTCGGTCTCGGTCGATGATGCCCTCAAGATAGCTCAGAAGCCATGAAACCTCGGCATCTTCTGTGTCTGTGGCCTTGTTACTGCGATGCTGTAGCCGGGCAATCTCCTTGAACACGCCTAATAGATCTCTTGTACGTGCCAGGTACATGTCAATGTAGACAGGCTCGCTATCGGAGGATTGCGTCGAGGGTGTAGGGATCGTTGTTTGTTCAGACACGAGATCACTGGCAGCGTGGCAAACTAGTGACTCGGTCATGTCGAACCAGCGCAACAAAAAGCGCAACTCATCTGTCGGATTTTGTGAGAGGCCCTTGTCTTGGAGTCGAGAGATAAGCCCCCGAGCGCCCCGGAAGTGTATGCTCCATCGATCACGGCTAGGATTGGCGGCAAAGACCTCGCAGACAAACAGAGTCCTTGCTGCAGCTAGCAGCGGCACGAGCTGTCGGTCATCATCGCATTCGGAGAGCCTCTGACATAGAGATCTTGAACTGAGGGCTTGAAAGCCTTCTATAATGAGACCTTGTGCAGTCTGCTCGTCACTGGTCTTGCAGCTGGCCAGTTTGTGCACGGCGGCGAGAGCGACGATGCCCTGTAATAGAGCGTCATTGAAGACGGCCATGGGAAGAATCAACTCGCATAGCTCATCGAATATTTGAGGATGAGGGGCGAGAGCTCTGACGGTTCTTTCTGTGAAATATTGAAGACCGGACATGTGTAGGGGGGATAGATGACTGAAGTATCCGACAGGAAGTGGTAGAGAGATTTGCCTCCGCCGAGGAACCAGATCATAGCTTTTAGCTGGGCTCAACAGAGAAACTTCTGAAGAGGTTGAGGAAGAGGTGTCATAGTTTTCTGTTTCCTTGGATAGGGTACTTGGTGAGGGAGAGGAAGAAGGGGGAGGAGTAGAGACGGCGACAGCAGCCTGGCTTGGTTGAGGTGTGGAGGGAGAGACGTAGATGAAGTTGTCCCGGTTGATATCTAAGACCAGGGTTAGCTCAGGTCGTATAGGTTGATTGGATGGAAAGCACCTAGCCTTTGAACACTCAACTCATTCCGGGATAGACAATTGCCAAACGCAGAGCGATTGAAGGGTCTCCCGCCCCATCTCAGATGAACCCCATACTCACAAGCCACGCCCGCACTCTTGCAGCGCTGACAGGTAGGCCTATCCTCACTGCACTTCTTCTTGAAACGCTTGCACCGAGAGCATCCGACCCATGAACGACGCTGTGGAGGCATCACTTTTGAGGCAGAACAGAGGGAGAAAGGTGGCTGGGGTGTTAACCAATGTTTGTCTTATGTCACTGAGTTTGGAGAGACAAAAGGCGGGGAAATATATAGTCCCCACCGGAAGAAGCGGCGATAAGACCAGATTAGAGGCTAGTCCTGTATAGGAAGGATGGGGCGACAGTCTCGTGAGCCAGGGTTGGTCTGTTATCTAGGAGATAGCAACAGACCAAGCCAGTTGAGATGGATGGCTGACTCTGTGAAGAATTTTCGTGTCTTGGATTACTGATATCCGTGGGGGACCTGTCTTAAATACATATACGCCTGAATCCCCTTTTTTGCCTGTCCGCCTGCTTCAATCTTCCTCAACGTTGACAGTGCTGATGAATGCGTCTTGGACATGCTTATCGCACCCCTGTCCATAATGACAGGGTTGACCTATCCCATGATTTTCCTTTATCTTGGTGGTCCAATGCACCATCCTTCTCCTTCTCCTTCTCCTTCTCAACGAAGCTTCTAGCTGAATAGCCATAACATAAGAAGTGCCGTACTCTCCGGCAGACCCGACCAAGTCGTGGCGCTGCAACTGACGCTGGTATAGGAATGTGTGCTCTCAGTCGCGTAACCCTTGATAAGAGTCGCTTCAGAGCAGAGCCCGACTTGACGTCGTATTGCATGACCGAGACATGAATACCCTCGTCGCCGCCGACGTGCAAGTCTTCGAGTTCCTCATAGCCTAGAGAAAGGTAAAGCGATTTGCCCATCTCGGCTGCAATGACTCCTTGGCAGACATTGTCAATTTTGGCGAGATCGATGCCCCACCGAACTAGACGACCACCATGACCACGTCTCCAGTACGCGGGATGGACGACAACCATCTCCATTGTTGCGAGACCCTGGAAGTACCTAAGATGAAATTCACTGATGGGGATAGGTGTTGACATAGGATCAGGCTGTGACTCACTGTTCTTCCGCCGCCTCGCAGCGCTCGTCAAGCTCGTCGCAGTGGTCCTTGTCCATGTCTCTCATTGGGTTTTTCATGAGTTCGGGATAAGGGGCTGATTGAATATGTTAGGGCCAGGAGACGAATGGAGAGTACGAGTGTACATACCGTCGTCCTTTTGAAAGGATCCTTTTCTGTCTGAGCCAGGCTGGAGTTTCCAACAGGCCACACCGACAACCACCTCATCATGAGGTTCGGGGGTAGGCCAACCATTGTCAGCCGGGATGATTGCCTTGGTCTTTGTTCCTTCGTTGGGATCAAACTTGTCGGTGGCGACAAGGACGATGTGCTCGGTGCTTTTGATGACGGACGAGAACTCGTGGCAATACGAAAGGAGGGTATCTTCAGGAAATTTGGCATGATATGGACGCTCCCAGTCAAAGACGGAAGAATAGGGAAAGCCAGAAGCAGCGACGATGCCGATGCGCAGGATATCGGCCGGCGAGGCAAGACGTAGACGGCCTAGGGGAGGAGGAGGAGGAGGCAGACCAGGAGAGGGAGCCATGGCCGGTTCGATTGGCAAAGACTTGATCTGGAAAACATGACGAGGCTCTCATGAAATTCAAATAATGGGGGATGCTCCTTCAGACCGTGTGTCACGGCAGGAGCCTCGATTGAGGCTCTGCGAGAGGAAGGGAGCAAGGTGGAAGGGAACGTCTCATGTGATTGGTTCATCGATCATGCAGGAGGTTTAGACTCGCCGGTTGAAGGGGAGGGTTAAAAGCAGGCTGTGTCTTACGTTAAAAAATCAGGCTCTGACCTTGTGCTACACAAAAAACATTCCTTTGTCATTTTAATGGCGCGTTGGCATGGGTGTTGACGTACTACTGCGACATTTCTCAAACTCGCCGGTCAGGCCGAGCCTTGTCCTTGTCACAGCAACAACACGCACGCACTCCATCTTTCACCGCCGGGACTTGGCTGTCGTGTCACCGTCTTCACCGGTCAGAGTAAGGCTCTGACATCGCCCACGCCAAGCCCCCTCCCAGCGGGGTAATTTCTAGTGATAAGCCTCGATGCGATCCTCAGAGCCTCTTGCTCAAACTTCATTCTAGCAGCGATCACCATGGTCAAAGACGACAATGACGTCTCCCCAGCGGCTGAAATGGACGAGAGTCACAATGACTCGTGGCAACGACTCGAGCCGGAAGAATGGCGCATGATCAACTTTGACGACGGCTTCAATTGGCCACATCACCTGATTCAAGGTGAAAGCGACCACCAGCCTGCCTTAGCGGCATCACCTAATGCGGCCCTAGACTACGAGCTCGTCAAGGCATCACAGCCGACAGATGAGGCGGCTCAAGTCAAGCATGAAAACACACAAACTCCCAATAGAGAATCCGAAGAGCCGCCCGGCTTGGCAGAGTTGGCAGAGTTGCCACATCGCTTTCGCCTTGAACAATCGCGCTCATCAGTCACTGTCCAATCACACTCAAATTCAAGCACCTCAAGTAACACACTAAATTTCACGCCTGGATCATCTTCAGCCAGTCCTTGGCCACCTGCCCGCTATGGCTCAGAGAGTTTTCAGCCTCATTCTGCCCCCCACAGCTTCCTATCAAGCCCTTGGGAAATGGAGAGCCTTGATGCGCCAAGACCAGAGAACGAAGCTCACACCGGTTATTCGCTTCCTTCGGATAACGCTAGTACTGGGGTGCCCGGTTATGATACAAGCGAGCAGGGGTTTGGAGCCTCACCTTGGACATGGTTGCCAGGCCCTGGCCTCCCAAATGCCCAATTTGGGGTGCAGACATTCACCGATGAGTTTAACAACTCCTTCCTATTTGTGCCTTCAGCACAGGCCATAGAGGCATCACATTATGCACCTGCTTCTACAACCAGGGGACCCGGCTTGTCAATCCCTTTGTGCTTTTCACCGCCTCCGAACCAGGCTCCGCTAAGTGTGCATTCAGACCCGGGCACACATGACCACCAGCAAGCTAAGCGCAAGCGTGATAAGGACGACGTGCAGAGCCGCACACAGACGAACAAGGTTCGAGCTCTGGGGGCGTGTTTGAGATGCAGGATCTACAAGGAAAAGGTTCCATCCACCCTCCAAGACCTCTATGAATGACGTGGTGAGGCTGACCTCTCTGCAGTGCGACCTCGAAATTCCCTGTGGCCGTTGCGTCCAGGTTTCTGAAAGCGCAAAGCTGTTCACGCAGCCCTGCCAAAGGGTTGATCTCACCGATGTAATTCCTTTCCGGACTGGGAATGCTCGGATGGGCCAAACAACTTCCGTCTTTCCGAAACCCCAGTGGTTTGTCGGGAGCCGCAGCCGTACTGCACTCGTCACCCACTTCATTGAGAAGGTTGACGTGAGCGAGCTCCCAACGCTGCAACTCTTGTGCCGGCAATTCTCCCCGACACAGGACGACGTCTTGTTTGAACATTACGAAGACGCGTATGGCCAAGTTATTGTGGTTGAATGTCCCCCTGTCGCATGCGTAAGTAGCCCGTCTAGACCAGCCTAGAGAGTATCGTTGAAAACAAGCGCCAGATGAATATCGAAAGCCAAAAGATCAAGCGAGCACTTGCAGAATACATGCAAAAGATCTTACCCTTTGCGGTAAGAGAGATGCTGGCTACTTCAAAAGATGAGATTTATCGCAACGGACTCGCCGAAGCACACCGCCTTGCTTTTCTCAGTTCTGTGAGAAGTAGTCTAAAAGCGGCTTTATGCATGTCTGACCATGACTAGAGCCCGATTCCTATGCTCCAGAAAGCACTCGAGATCCTCGCCTGTGTCCACTTAAACTTTGATACTCCTATCTTGGTGGGCGACACGCTCGGCGTGCCAATCTTGAGGGATAAGAGGTCGCCCATTCAGGGGAGATACCCGGTCCCCTCCGTATTGGATTTTCAACTAGACACGCTTTGCATCCAACACATGCAGAAGCTGATGAAGGCTGTGTCAAGCGCTCTCAAGAATGTCATATTTTCCAAAGAGAGGCATACTCGCTGGTACGAGATTTTTCTTACCATCTTTGTACTGCTCGTTTCGATCGAGCAGGTCTACTTGACCCAATTTGAGTACCTTCAAGGCGCCGACGCCGCAAAAGACGTAGGTTGCATCTGCCTTGATACATTGGTCATGCGCTGAGCCCCCCGTAGAGAGTCAACATCTTTGCCCAAGCCTCACCTGTCACCAATCACATGTTTGGCTTATGGAGGGCGTCGGCTAAGCATCTTCTATACCATTATCGATGCGTCATGAAGGGGACCCTTCCATTTTCAACCTCTTTCAAGTTGGAGAATGAAGGATACGCACTTCTAGACAACGAGGCTATCAAGTACATTCGAGAAACAGCGGCTCTGGTACGTGAAAGAGGTACAGTCCCCTTGGTTTCAACTAATTCGTCCCCGCTTTCCACTGACGAGGCTCGTTTAGAGGTGGAGTTGAAGGCTCTCAGGGATCTTGATAACATTTCAGTGATGCCTTTGTGTTGGATTTCCGAGCTCTTTCTAGACGAATCGGGGACGCCGGGTCATAGAACTTGACATCGAGGAGAGGTACTGATTCTATTTGCCCAGTGGCATTGCCATCCACGCGATGACAGGGCCGCATTTGTGATTTTAGACCTTGGGAAGCATTGCCTGGCCTTGGCGAGTGTCAGATGAAACGCTAAAAATCATCTGACAATGGAATTGCACATTAGAAAAGACTCACACCTTCTCATACCCTACCGATTGGCATTGTCTTAGTTGTCAGATAACAGCAAGCCACTATGAGGCTCTGCCCCGTTACACAGGCATGTCAGCCGATGGCTAATTGTAATTCCTTCCTAAAATGGACGTGTCAAGTCTGTGTGGTGTTATTTGCGTTGGGATTGAAAAGCTAGGACTTGTTTTGTGGGAAGGGGGAGTCTTGAATTTTCAAGTTGCACTTTCGCAGAGCCTCATCGCCACTGTGGAGGCTCAAAATGTCAGAGACCTACGGGCAGTACTCCGATAGTCTATTTATTCTGCATCATTCCGTCTCATATCGAACTCAACTTTCTACTGCAACAGCCCACAGCAGCCTACAGCATCACAACAATGAGCCTTCCTACCGGATTCCCTGAACAGCTTAAGGGCCCCATGGCCTGGGATGCATCTGACTTTGTCCAGAACCCAGAGGCTTACACTCTGACACTGACTGAGAGTGACCTCTTGGGAATACGGACAGCCGTCAACCACTTCAAGGGTAAGGATCCTACCATCCGGTCTTTCATCAGATATTGACTCTTGTACTTAGGCCTTGGCCTTCCGCGAGGCTCCGTGGATCGGTCCAACTTTCCCCTCCCTGAGGCTCTCATCACGAAGTTCCGGCAAATCAATGATACCCTGAACAATGGGCACGGCTTTCAAGTTGTGCGTGGGATTGACCCGACCTCCTACAGCGAAGAAGAGCACATCCTCATCTTTGCGGGCATCTGTGCCCATGTGGCTACCCACCGAAACTGGTTCATCGGTATGTTTATCAAGGTTACCAAGCATTAAGCAAATATTTCTGACAAAGATTGAAAGATCATCTCCGACATGAAAGACAGGACGATGTGGCTGGCGTCAACTTGCGCCCACCAGAGCTGCCAGTCAAAATGGTATGATACGACTTGAGAAGGCTACATCGTGAACTACTTAGCTAACCTCTTCATTCATCACAGGACTTCCACACTGATGTGGACTCGGGACCCATTCTCGCACTTTTCATGGAGAAGCAGTCCAAATATGGTGGCAACCAGCACCTCTCGAGCTTCTGGACCATCTACAACTCCCTTGCTAGGGAGTCCCCTGAGGTCATCAGGGAGCTTGCATCCAACTGGCACTGGGAAATGCCAGACAAAGAGAATCTTGATGGACCCAACATTGTCCTCCCATCTCGGCCAATCATTGGCAAAGCGGATGGAAGGTTGCAGATCAACTTTGCCAAGGCATATCTTGCCAACCACCCCCAGTACCCTATGAACAAGGGCTCGCCATCCTTGTCCCCTTCGCAAGAGGCTGCTCTCAAGATCCTCACCGAAACAGCAAGGAGACACAGTCTTCAGCTTGATACCAAAGCAGGCGACCTTGTTCTGGTCAACAACCTCGCCATGATGCACGCCAGAGACGCCTTTGTTGACGATGTAGTCTCTGGCGATGTACGTCACGTGCTCAGGCTCTGGCTTCAAGATCAAGACAGCTGGCCCGTAGCTTCTTCCCTTGGGTACATTGAACCGGAGAAGACGTGGCACGTTTCGGATAAGCATCAGTCGCTTCGTACACTGTCTGAATGGGTTACACTTCCCCGACCCATCCGTGCGGTTGATGCAGCTGCATCGCAAAAGCATGCCTGAAGCGAGTGACGGGTGTGTGAAATGGGACAAGCAGGTCGAGTTTGAGATGAAGGAGGAGGTTGCAGTCAGTCTTTTCGCGGCGGGGTGGAGGAACATGGCAGGATGTTGGGAATAGTGGCTATACCCTGTTGCACTCCGTTCGTTTTTCTTGATCCTCATGTATGCAATTTCTTTATTAGACAACTTTCCTTATATATACTTTTCCCTCTATCTAAACCCCGAATATCACACTAACCTGTACAGCAACAAGGCTGATTCGCCCAAGAACAATCGACCTAAGCCATAGCCTTCTCTTACGCCTCTTTGGTGTCTCTCATCGTACTATCCAAGAGTTTCGAGGCCGCGTTGAAGCAGGCTGATGTTACCTCGACATCCTCTTTGTTATCGTAAGAGTCTTGCTGCGTGTGCGTTTGCTTGTGATCGGAGTGGATCTTTGTCTCTTAGACAGGAAGTCCCGAAGTTACAATACACTTACCTTGAAGGACTGTTATACTCTGGGCAAAGGCTCGTGCATATGATACATGGCTTACTGGTTGAGGCCTGTCGAATATGATCCTCAGAGGGTGAAACACTGAACGAGAAGAGTCACCTGTCAAGAGCAAGCCCATCAGTGGAACATGATCCCATCATGATACGTTGTAGTTGCTTTGAAGCTAGACATGACTAACGGTTAACGTCAGAAGGTCATGACAACAAGCAATATCATTGGCTACCAAGACAACGGAAAGGCATGGATTCATTCCTCCCTAATAGCTCTTCAGGAACCAAAGCTCCTAGCATGAGACTAATCATCCACACATTTATTATCAATCAAGTGATCAACTTACTATCTACAATTCAGTCAAGTCCTTGACCTCGTGCCTCAACATCTCGTGGGTGATTGGCAATCTTAATAGAGAGCTCTAGTATCACGGCTCGCCGCATATTTCATCCATTGACTGATTAAGTGGCCCTGATAGAATAGGTGAGGTATAAATTCCATCGTATTCCCCGATACCAAACCACCCCTCCTATTCCATTGCAGACAACGACGAGTTCTTTCCTACCACCACGTCGCTATCCACTCCACAACGAGCCATTCCAACGACGATGTGCATCATCACACAGTACATCTTCTACTGCAGAAGATGTCTTCGTGTTATCACAACTCGCACAGGCTACCAATACTGCCGTCAACCGGGAGTCAGAAACCACTGCATGATCATGACCTTTACGGCAGCTAGATGGTTAAGCGAAGGGTATTGTCGGTACTGCACTGGTTACAACGGCGATCCGCAATTTATACAGGTCTGGAATTAGTTAATATAGTTTTGATCTTAAAGACTCAGGAGGTCACTTAAGCTTCTTCGTCATTGGTGGAACGCATGGGCTGAGAGACTCGACGTCATGAGTCTTGGGCTCGGCGAAATGAGATTGAGATGTATGAACGCAATGCTACTTAGCGAGTCTCACCGACTAAGATGGCCTTCTCCCATATAAAAGGAATGTAGCCTATAGTCAATTTTACCTACACAAACATTCCGCCTGTTCGCACCCTTCAACTCGCCGGTCGATCCGATACGTGACTTGCGACCCGATTGGTTGGGCCCTGATAGGCAGTTTTCAAGCGAAGGAACGCATACCCTAGCTATGAGGCCACGACAGGCCAATACGTGCGTAATAGCCATCGACTTAAGTGGCTATGCCAGAAAGGGCAATTATACGATGACTAGTTGGCAAGCCCAAGACCGAGAACAAGAGGCCAAGGCGACAGGCAGGTCAAAAAAAACACCGCCAATACAAGCACCAAAATTGTATAGGGAGAGCGGCGTAATCAAGGTGGCTAACAGTTCTCGTTGCAGTGAGTGTCATTACGATCGACTAATATCTCAATCACCTTGTTAATCGAGGCCATCTTACTCCCCGTAACTCGCTTCTCGCGACTCTCTTTCGCGAGGCTAGCTATTCTGTGTGTGATGACCAAGCATGCGGTCAGAGCCCACTTTGGGCCCATCTTACGCCTCGTCTGACGGCCTTCGGGAAACCGTCATTGACCGAGCTTAAGAAGGAATCTTACTAAACGCTTGGCATGGTCAGCAAGTAATAGAAGGAGTCAAACATATATAAGTATCAAGTACAGCCTCGAGAAAGAATCATTATACCTCAAGACTTGAACACCATCGCCAGTCTCATCCTCTACCATTATCCCACCATGTCCGGCCTCAAGTTTGATCCCGAGTACCTCAAGGTCATTGGGCCATTCATCAGTGGCCCCCAGCCACCCCAACAGTCCAATGATATCTATGGAAGGCGGGCGACCATGAACATGATCATGACTGCGGCCAACGACTTTGCTCCTGCTCCGACCGCTGTCCCGCAGACCATCTTTACCGTCAAGGGCCATGATGGAGTCGATATCAAAGTTACGCGCTTCGCCACCGAGGCGGCGTCCAAGTCGGAAACGCCGACACCGGCTGTGGTCTACTTGCACGGCGGTGGTTTCTTCTGCAATAGCGTCGAAATCTTTACGCCTCGGATCGCCCGCTATACTCACGACTCTAATCTACCATACTTTGCTGTGAGCTATCGACTGGCACCCGAGCATCCTGCACCTTGTGCTATTGAAGACTGTTACGCGGTCATCAAGCACTTGTCAGAGTCCTCCCAAGAGTTCAACATCGACCCTACCAAGATCATTGTCCATGGAGACAGCGCTGGAGGAGGTGTTGCTGCTGGCGCCGCTTTGTTGGCTCGAGACCGCAAACTTGAACCTCCCCTGGCGAAGCAGATTCTGATTTATCCCATGCTGGATGACCGGACCAAGGTCAAAGACGACGACCCGAGTATTGAGCTCATGGTCTGGAAGCCGGATGCAAATGTTGTCGCCTGGGACGCTTATCTTAGCGAAGCTCGAAAGAATAGCGATATCCTGCCCTACGCAGTGCCAGCAAGGGCCGCAAGTCTGCGGGATCTTCCACCTACTTATATCGAGGTCGGGACTCTGGATCTATTTAGAGATGAAGACATTGAGTATGCCACTCGGCTAGCTAGGGAAGGTGTCGAAGTTGAGTTTCACCTCTGGCCAGGTCTGCCGCATGGGTTCGACGGTTTTCTGAACCTCAGCTGGTATGAAAGGGCCAAGGAGAGCCGGATGAGCGCCTTGAAGAGGGTTTGAGAGATTGTGGTGCGGTGAAACGTGTCACACCCACTGTAAATAAAGTCGTTTCAAGAGCCACGATACCAGCCTTCAATTCCAATATTGTGTTCAGGTCTCGTATTTCTCGAAATCCAGGCATTCTTTTATGCTTTTGAAACATTTTTCTCTTGGATCCCGTTCTTCAGTTCGTCAACACCTATCTTGAAAGGTAAACTGGCTTTGCAGCTCTTGGCTTGGGTAGCCCAAACGGTCCATGACAGAATATTTTTGAGTGTGATCTGAAATTAATGAGGTTAGATACCAGCCGTCTAATGTGCAGGTTAGAATCATTGGATTTCTCATCGATGCATGGAAAATATTTTGTTGCCTTTAGTTGACCTGCCGAAGCGAAAGGTGATCTTTGAGCAGTTGATGATACTTCCCTGGACAAAACACCATCAAGCACATGTCACAAGCAAGGGGCTTAGTCTTTTGTTTGCGACAGTGCACCACCAAAAAGTCAGCTGTCTCAGAGGTGGTTGCAATGGGAGATTACCTCGCATGCATTAAAAGTATGCTCATGCAGGAACTCTCACCATTACCTCGGAACTTGGCTTCTTGTCGCAGGCACGGCTCATTGGATCGCTATTGAAGGCTTGTCTGCAAGTTTAGTGACTAACCGGTCTTCCGACCTTCTCAATATGGAACATGGGTTCAAGTGAGGGAGCGGGCCTTGTTAGGTAGCAACCCGATGTTGCCGATCAAGCACGGTCCATTGGGTGATTGAGGAGAAATTGTCTTCCCCAGTCCGTGACATCCAGGGCATGTTCAGTAGGAAAGATGTAGGTGACTGAGCTCAGATGATGTGTAATTTCCCCATAGTATCACAGCACCACGAAAATACTGTCATTTGACTAGTGCAAGCAGATGATGTCTTGACAAGCGGTGATGCAACGTTGATGATCAAGGCTTGATGCAAATCTGGCAAGAACAATGACGAATTAGGTTCCTCGGCCCGTGAAGAGGTATAATAAGGTTTTCAATATGATCAATAGCCGCATCAATAAGAATTCGTGTGGTGGTGGTCGACAGTTGATCAACACACGCTATATCGCCTGAATAGGATGGTCTGCCCCTCAAAATGCAACCCCATGTCCGTCGACGGCTAATTCCCGCACATGGAAAAATTCCTATTGATGCAAATAATGTCCGGCAGTTCCAGCATCATCCCATGTACCCCTCAATATCGGTGTGAATTGGCCGAACCCCGGCCTTGGCTTTGGGGTTGGGCCCATTCGGCCCTAGAGCCCGCCGGTCAAGTGGGCATTGCGTCACGGTATCACGGGAGAAGAAGGACCGAGGTGTAAGGTCAGGTTAGTTGCTATAAGAACCTGATATGAAAGGCGAGGATGGGATTCGGCACACCTGAGGCTTGCTCTGTTTGCGGGGGACATCTTGAAAATGAAGTTCCCTTCAATTTCTAGGCTTGGGGCCTTTGGCCTGCTCGCAACCACCCTTGGGGGCCTCGTCGATCTATCAATTGGTCAAAAGACGAGTGATCCAATCCAGGATAATGGACTGACAGATCTTGTCCAATGGTAGGGAAATGCGACTGCCTGAAGCATGGTGTTAGCTGATTTGTTGTTCCTAGGGATACCCACAGCTATTTCATCAACGGAGAAAGACTCTTTATCTTCTCGGGCGAGGTATGAACTGATCCAATTGATTTGCCATTCTCATCTAACACGTGAATAGTTCCATTATTGGCGTCTGCCAGTGTCAGTAGCAAGCCCCCAGATAAACTGTCACCCTACTAACATCCACCAGCCCCGAGCTATGGAGGGATCTTTTGGAAAAGATGAAGGCCGCTGGTTTTAACGCCTTT